ACTGTTGGCCCTCAAGTTAGAGCAGTGGTTTCCAAAGATTAGTGTCCCAAACTGGTGGTATTAGCATCACCTGGAGACTTGTTAGAAATGTCCTTTCTCAGCCTCCATCCTACACCTGCTGAATCAGAAACTCTGGTGGTTGCAAGTGTGCTGGGTAACTGTGCTTTAATAGCCCTGGTTAAAGTTGGAGCCGCTAGAGTCAAAAGTCACGTCTGAATAGGCCACCATCTGACCTCAAATGATGCCTCTTTTGTAGCCGTTGTATCAATCTGTCTTCCCCATTTCACTGACTCTGCTTTACGTAGCCTGCTGTCCTTCTCCAGGGCCTGGTCCCTCCTGATAACAGGCTCAAAGTACATGTGATGAGGTCTTAGCATTCTCAGTTCTAAGGACTACACTTCTTCCAGGACCAATTGGATTGTGGTTTATTCTTTGCCAACAATGCCGTTCCAAGGCATCAATTCTTCCTTATTCGTTGTCCATCTTTTGTCACATAGATGTGATTCAAAACTCAAACTCACTGCCATCGAGTCGCTTCCCACTCAGAGGGACCCTGCATCGGGTTTCTGAGCCTGTAAATTGTGATGCAAGGAGAAAACCCCTCTTAATTCTGTGGAGCATCTGGTGGATCTGGACCACCATTGCTTGTCTTTTAACTGTTAGCAGCATAATATGCAAAAATTATCCCACCAGAGCTCCTCCTCACATGCTTAGGAGATTGAAAATACCATGACTTAGGTCAGGTGTACCTTAGTCTTTAAAGTGTCATCCTTGCTCTTTAGCAGTTTAAAGAAATCTTTGTCAGCAGTTTTGCCTATAACAGTACATTGTTTGATTTCTTGACTGCTTTATCTCTTGATTATGGGTCCAAGTAAAAATTAAATCCTTGACAACCTCATCTTTTCTCCATGCTGTTTTTATTGGTCCAATTATGTGAATTTACAACCTCTTTCTACCAGTCATGGGACTAGGGATTCAGGAGCACACAAGGTGGGCTTGGCCCTTGCCCTCAAAGATATTATATACCAGCCGGCTTCGCTGAGTCCTTTCTTTAGTTCTTGCATTTCATGAGATGTTTTTGCTTTATGCAGTACCCCTTCTATTTCTCTTTGCTTGTTTTATCATAACACCTTGAGTAATTGGGGAGAACAGGATTGCTTCTCTCCTACCATAAAATGGCTGCACTTTGCAGTTTAAACTCTTTGCCCAAAGTCACAGCACTCCATGACCTTGGCCACCCACCTCGCATGACAGGACTCTGTGTGGATGAGGCTGGAGGCCTCGGCCCACTGGCCCACGGTGGGGCAGAGATGTGTTCCTGCCGCCTGGCCTGCCGCCTTCCCCGTGCAGTGGGGAGGGGGAGCTTAGCAGGCCTCTGGCTGCCTTCGCTCAGAGCACAGGCCTGGCCTCGCTCCATCCCAGCCAAGGACAGATGTCCTTAGACACACGCAGTCCCCTAATCACCCTCAGACCTGGGAGCAGCTCGTGAACACATGTGAAGGCTTTGATAGAATGTTCTGCCAGGCTGTCAGCTTCTGCTGGTGGATGATGTGAGAATTTCCATCAGTCAATCTCTTGACCGAAATGAATATTAACAAAATGAAGTGGGGTGGGGGGAGGCGAGAAAAAGAAAAACAGCTGGCAGGCGAGCCGAGCTCTCCCCAGCTCTCAGCCTCAGCCTCCCTCACCAGTCTTCTCCTTGTCAGGCCTCCCCCTGCTCCTCCTACCCCCACCTCTTCAGTCTGGTGCACAAAGAGGAGCTGTATGGGGGTGTCAACTGACCAGCCAGGGGAGGAGGAGAGCAGGAGTTCTGATAAATGACGCTCCCGAATTGACTTCATTTTGTCCTTGCTGAACCAATACGGAGGAACCCTGTCAGATCCCCGAGTCCTCCCACTTGTAGCTGGGGAGCAGAGAAGGTGACTGTGGGTTGACGCGCGCACGCCCACTCCTATTGGCTGGCCAGGCCCCTTTGTGCACATCCCTGGCTTTGCAAGCGTACACAGAACGTGCAGAGGGCGTGCGTACAGGAGCTCAGCCCTGAGATTTATCGTGCTGTGTGACAGGTCCCCTCCCACAGACCAGAGAAGAGACACAATCTGCTAGAAGTGACTTTTCAAATGATCTGCAGAAAACATTAGTGGATATTTTCCCATCTGCATGCCTCTAGGCCTTATTGAGTCATAAAAAGTAAATTATTTCCCCCCACCCCCAATGCTTTGACAAACCTGTGAGTTCCAAGCCATGTTCTAGCTGATTGATTTGCCATTATGTATCTGAGCTTAAAGGTTAGCTGGCCAAGGAGGGATGGGGGTGGGCAGGGTGGCAGGGTCACTCCTTCAGAGGAAGCGAACAAGCGGCTTAGTTTGGTGGTGGAGTTAGAGGGCTTATTAGGAAGGCTTCCCAGAGGAGGGGACTCGGGGACAGCCGTAAAGGAGGGGGCAGGCACCCGTTCACTCAGGGGAGGTAGTGGGAGGCAATGAAAACAAGCAACCTCCTCTCCGTCCACTCCAGCTCAAGGTCAGAAAAGCTTAGAAGTCCTAGCCAAGGCTAAGGGCAGGAGGCCTCGCTGTCCTTCCTCAAGCATGTCCTTTCAGGCAGGGCTGCAGGCCACCAGGACGCGATGAGTGGGGCCTGTTGTCCCCAAAATCCAGGGTAGCGCATGGACCCTTGTGGGACTTCCGGCAGCTCCTTTGTCCTGAAGATGGTATGCTGAGTGCCAGCTTCCTGAGCTGCTCCTGATTCAATCTGAACAGGCTGCTGCGGAAGGAAGCAGAGAAGGAAGGAAGGAAGGAAGGAAGATGAGGCGCTGAAGTGGCCACTGGCTCACGTCCGAGCTGCCTGTCTCCTGGGAAAGCAGTCACAGCGCTGACCTCTCCCAGAGTGATGTAAAGGACCATGGCTTCTGTGGGAATGTGGGTCCCTGGGGCCAGGCCACTTCCTGAGCACCGTCTGACCCACACCAGCGTGCCCCCACTCTCCACCCCTGGGGACAAGATGTGAGGACAGATGGGGGAGTGAAGCAGCATCCCAGCCTGGCCATGCCCTACAGAAGGAGAGGAGACCCTTCTCATACTGTGAATTTATTGACAAGAGCTGGTCTGTGCAGGGGCTGAAGGAAGAGTGAGGCCTTGCAAGACAGAGGAGCTGATGGCAGAGGAGGCGTGGTCAGCCAGATGGCCTCCAATGTCCCATGTCACCCCTATTGGGAAGATGCAAAAAAAAAGAAAAAAGAAAACATAAGAAACCAACTTCCTAAAAAAAAAAAAGGCAGAAACATTAACAAGTAGGAGATACAATACAGAAGACAAAGATGAATGCTTCTCAGATAAAGCCTGGTGTGATGAAGTCACTAATGGAGCTATAGGTGTGGTCTGCAAAAGGAGGGGAAACTTGGAACTCAAACTCATTGTCACCAGCCAGAACCAGCCCACAGCTGACTTTGGGGGGGGGGGGCTGGGAGCTGTAAATTGCATGGGAGAAGATGGCCTCTCTTTCTCCTACAGATGTGGTAATGGATTTTATCCACCAGAGAGGCACTGGCTTCAGGTGAGCACCACAACTCCTTACACACTGCGCCACCAGAGCCCCCTAAAGAGTGGAGAACAGCACTGAAAGCAAATGCATGGAGCCCGAATGAGGAGTTCATTCTCTGCTCAAATGAGGGGTCTAGGAAAAGAATGAACCACTGTAGCATCTGTGTTCTCAGACCTCCAGACAGAAGCTAAGAAGCCAGTCTCATCTCGACCTGCCAGAGGCACCATCACAGGACTCACGCAGTTGGAACTCCTGGGGAGCGCAGCTCGCCCACACCCCGTGGTGGATCTAAGCATCGTACCGGACAACCCGTGTGTGTTGGAGCAGAATTGCACTTCATAGTTTTAGGCGGCTTCTGGTTTTAAGTAGGTAGCACGACCTTTCTTCCAAGATGCCTTTGGGTGAACTTGAATTTCCAACCTTACTGTTAGCTGCCAAGTGAATCAACTGTTTATATCACCCAACAGCACCTATCCTTTTCCTAAAACAGCCATAGCAAATGACCACAGACTATATGCCTCAAAACAGCAGAAATACATATTTAATCTGACAGCAAGTCACCCCCAGGGCTGGGCTCCCTCCAGAGATTCTGGGGAGAATCTTTCCTTGACTCTTCCAGCTCCGGTGGGTTCACAGCCTGGTGGTTCCATGTCTCCGTTCTGCTTCACTTTTCACATGGCCTTCTTCTTTCAATATGCCTCTGCCTTATCCACTTTGCCTATGTCAGATCTCTGCCTTTTTCTTTTAAAGACGTGATTTAGGGCCTACCCAGATCATCTGGGATGAAGTCATCCGTAAGTCCTTTAAGTAATCACATCTGTAAAGACCCTTTTCCCAAATGCAGCCACATTGACAGGTTTCTGACGCGAAGACATGGACATACGTTTTGTGGGAGGCCAGGATTCAACTCACTGTAGGACCCCAGCAAGTCTGGTGATCCTTGTAACACCCAGGAACTTTGGCTTATGAAAAAAAAAAAGCAGCAATATTGTATCTTCTGTATTGTATCTGTAGTGTAAAAATTCTACATTGTATTTTCTACTTGTTTCTGCTTTTTCTCTTTGGGGAGTTTTGGGTTTTTGTTTGGTTTGGTTTTGGTTTGTTGGGTTTTTTTGGTTTCTGGGTGTGGTGTTTTTTTGGGTTTTTTGGTGTGTTTTTTTTTTGCATTTAAGCTTTGCACATGTAACTGCTCAAAAAGTGTTCCTGGAGTGAGATTCAGCTGGGAGAATGGGGCATTTTCAGAGCATCCTCCTCTAAGAGTTAAGGAATCCCACGAGAACTTCCCAGCCTCTCCCTAGGATCTCCTCCTGCCCTTTGTCTTCTCTGGTGCCCAGTGGCAGGCCCAGTCTTAGGGGGTTAGGCTCTTGTCCCGTTTCTTGTCATCTCTTGGCCCTGTTATCCCCCACTCTGTAAATAATGACTGTTTTATGCATAAATTGAAGAGTTTCCTCCTCCATATTTAGGCACACAATGAGCTGATGAATTCGAGCCTGTATCTGGTGTTGTTGCTTCACTTCTACGAACAGCATTTTGCAGAACTCATGAGGCTGAACTACAACTGGATTATAAGAGAGAGGGTAAGTCTGGTTCTACCCTGGAGCCATCCAACAAGAGTCCTAAAAACCGTACAGTGGTCCTTATTAGAGTCTGTTGAGGTCCTCACAGTCACTGGGTAGGATGTCAGACTGTCGTTGGCAACCCTGAGACTTAAGAGGTGAGGTATACACGCAGTGGCCCTCTGGTTGAAAAGGGATAATCACCTAATTGTTTACTATTAAATACAGTGGTAATTAAATGGCCATCAATGATTGTATTCGTGAGGCTCCATGGATATTTGCCCACCAAAAAAGAAGCCAACAAGGATGCTGAGACTGGGGGTGATCACGTAGGGACATGCTCACTGCCCAGAAATTCAGGGTCTGTGAAAATCAGGACCTCCCTAAAGGGGGAACAGTTGAAGCATCAATCAGACCCTCAGAGGGACCTCTCTATGCATTTTGTTTTGGAAAACCATAGTAAATTGTGCTAGTTTATGTATGTATGAGGGAACTTTGGTGGCTTATTGGTAAGAAATTGTACTGCCAACCCGAAGGCCTGCTGTTCAAATCTACCAGCTGCTCCATGGGAGACAGATAGGCAGTCTCTTCCTGTCTGATTTATGAGCTCTGGAAGACCCACTGGAGTGTCAACTATAAGTCAGTTCCAACTTGACGGCACATAACAGTGTGTGTGTGTGCGCGCGCGCACGCATGCCTGCAGGAAGAAACAGACTGCCAAGAAATAAAGGTGCTGATGTATTCCTATTTGCCTTTAAGAAAGTGACAATGTGTTTACCGGGAATGGTCATCTGTGATTGCCTTTTGTTTAGCAAGGAAAACAGGACTCTCTAAGAGGGCTGGCAGAGAGGAGGCACTGTGGCTGTCTCATTAATTGGCAGCTAGAAGCTCAATATCAAGAAAACAAAGATTCCACCACTGGGCCGATTGGCAGCATCATAATAGATGGTGAAGAGATTGAGATTGTTAACAGCTTCAGTTTGGCTCCACAATCAACACTCTTGGCACCAGTAGCCGGGAAATTAAAAGACTGGGAAAGTCGGCTGTCACAGACTTCCCCAAAGTATTGAAGAGCAGTGATGTCTATCTGGAGACTAAGGTGCACCTGATTCAGGCCATTATCTTTACAATTACTTGCTAAGCATCAAAGAGCTGGACAATGACTAGGGATGATAGTAGGAGAGTTGATGCCTTTGAGCTGTGGTGTTGGAGAAGAGTATTGACTATATTATGGACTGCTAAGAAAATGAACAAGTTCATCCTGGAGAGGGTGTAACCAGGCTGCTCCTTGGAGGCAAGGATTCTGGGGCTTCGTCTGACCTACTTTGGACATGTGAGGAGGGACCAGTCCTTGGAGAGGGACATCATGCTTGGGAGGGTGGAGGGACAGCGCAGGAGAGGAAGACCCTCAATGAGATGGATGGATTCAGTGACTCGAGTAATGGGGGTAAGTATGTCAGAGACAGTGATATTGGCACAGAATTGCTAAGAGTTGCAGGCGACTTGACAGCACCTAATAACAATAGCTTTAACAATGTTCTTAACCGTCTGTAGAATCATCCTCATGCAAAGATGAGGATATTGAACTGGCTGACCTCTGAGTTGTCTTTAGTAAACTTAGTCTTCGTCAGTTAGACCATGAGCTTCATGGGACTTCTTTCGGAATTATCTAAATTGCTATGTTTATTTTCTCTCAGTTTAGGTGGTTAGAAGTCTAAATTCGGGGTGCTGCCAGCTCTCGGGAAAGCTTTCTCTGTCTTGGTTCACAGTGAGGGAGGAAGGTCCTTGTTTCCTTTTGGCATCATAAGCCCAGAATTCCTTGAGATCTCCATATGTCTGTCTTCCATTGGGTCTAGGAGGTTCTTAGCACAGGTTTGCTCTGCCCCAGGCTCTGCTTTCTTGGTAATAGGAGGTCCTTTTGATCTCTATTTGCCTCATTAATCCCCTTTTTATATCTTGAAAGAAGGAACTCTGTGTATTGCGTTATGTGTTAGGCTGCTAAGAGAAAGAACACGGATTTAAATCCACTAGCAACTCCATGGGAGAAAGATGAGATAATCTGTATTTGTTAAGATTTACAGTGTCAAAAACTCAATGGAGGCTAAATATGAGTTGGAGTTGACTTTATGGTAGTGAGTTTGATTTTTTGGTTTATATCTCAAAAGAGATTAACTTTAAAAAAACCCCAACATAATACTATAGCTTGTACCCTGCCTTATTAGAGTTAACATTTACAACACAGAAGATTATTTTAACAAATGACAAAATGGAAAACAACTATATAGCACTAAGAATTACATTGTTATCAGGGAGTGTTGAGTCACCTCTAGCTCACACTGAACTTACAAACAGTAGATCAAAGCCTGGTCCTATCCTGTGCCGCTCTCACAAGGTCCACCATGCTTAACCCCATTGCTGCAGCCACTCTGTTTCTTCATCCTCCGTCTCGTTGAGAATCTTCCTTTCTTTCACTGACCCTCCACTTGTTCAAGCTTGATGTATTTTTTTCAAGGACAACATGCCCAAAATATGTGAGGTGAAGTTTCACCATCTTTGCCTCCAAGGAGCACTTTGGTTGCACTTCTGCCAAGATGGATTTGTTTGTTCTCTTGACAGTCAATGGGATATTAAATTCTCTTTGCTCCAGCCACTTTTTAATAAATTTTAGCAAGATTTTACTTCCATGTGATATTAACAATACTGTTTGATAATTTTTGCTTTCTGTTGGATTTTTTTTTAATGGAAACAATTATGGATCTCTTCCGGTCTTCCAAATTTCTTTGCATAGATGAGTGAGAAGGTGCATCTATTTGTCAAAACATCTCAGTTGGTATTCTATCAGTTCCTGGGTACTTAGTTGTTTGTCAGTGTCTTCAGTGGAGCTTGGACTTCTTCCTTTAATACTGTTGGTTCTTGATCATATCCTGCTTCCTGAAATGGTTCAGCTTCAACCCATTTTTTTTGGTACAGTGACTGTGTTTATTTCTTCCATCTAATTTTGATGCTTCCTGCATCATTCAATATTTTGCCCGCAGTCCTTTAATATTGTATCTTAAGGCTTGAATTTGATCTTTAGCTCTTTGAACATGATAAAGTGTGTTCTTCGTTTTTTACTTTCTAGTTCCAGATCTTTGCACAGTTGATTACAATGCTTTGCTTTGTCTTTTTCACGCTTCCCTTTGAAATCTTCTGTTTAGTTCTCTTTCTTCATCTTTTTTTCTTGCACTTCAGCAAGTTTCATGAGCAAGTTTCAGAGTCTCTTCTGACACTAATTTTGGTCTTTTATTTCTTTCTTGTTTTTGTGATAGTCTTTTACTTCCTTTATGTTTGAGACTACCACTCATCTGGCCCCTGGTTGTTAATGTTCAGTGTTTCGAGTCTCTTCTGGAGAATTTTGGCCCAGATAAACTAACACATATTTTCAGGAGGGAGCAATTCAATCCATTACAACTTCTTTCTTCATTTAACGCCTCTTTGTGTCCGGGCCAGGAGACACTTCCCTTAAGGTCATGCCAGGGAATGGATAGATACTTTTACTATTTTGATTCTCAGAACACCCCTTAGAACTTGAGATTTGACCTCTGCTCATGTCAGAAGATAATGACTGGGAAGCAAGCCAGTGTGGCATGGGTACTCTCCCACCTCACCTGGGTTCAGTTCTCCTCTCTCTTCACTTTCCTTTCCTCCTCTTGGTCTCCCTTCCTCTCTCTGTTTTTCTCAATCTACCTGTCTTCTCCTTCACATGGTTGAGAGGCATCTGCTGGCATCAGTCACTTCCTGGAGGTTGGAACCCATTGATGCCAGGAGTTCTCTATGTCACAGCAGACCCTTCTGCCCTGCGAGCTGGTGCAGTCTGCTTGGAGCCATCCTCTTCAGAACACTGGCTTCTAACCATCACTCATGAGAATCCTAGATATGTTCCTGTTATCCCCTCACCCCCCCGACTTAACTCTTCCCCTTGGACCCTACGTTCTCAATTCAAACAAACAAACAAAACATAGACTAAGTCCTTGCCAAGGTACCATCTCAGGAATCTCACCCTCTTTTTGACCTAGGCCTGTCCTTCCTTAATTCTTGCATGGTTTTAATTCCTCAGAGAAATACATTTCTTAGAAAAGGAGGAACAGAAAAGCACAGGAAGCAGGAAATGATCCTTTGTTAACATTTCTATAACCTCATTTTCATGATTCCACGTCTTTTTAATAAACTTTTTATTATACATTGAACTTCAAAGCACCCGGAGCTGATATAGGTTACAGATGGTCCCACCATCGCTGAGCTAATGAAAGCAAGATTAGTAGCCACCAGGACTGGAAAGCAAACATAGAGGACAGCAAACAGTACAATTCAGTGGATTCAAACCAAGGCCTCAAAAAAGCAGCTTCTGGCTCTGGAGAACCTTCTGGATAAAATGGCCCCAGAGAAAAGGAGTAAGTCATAACAGCAGCAGTAGGAATCTGGGCCACTGGAAAGAGGAAGACCTGGACAGCACTCTTCTTTCATCACAATCCTGAAATAGTCCTCACCCACTTCAGCCGCCAAGCAGTAACTGGTACAAACAGCCAGTTAGAAGACACACAAGTGGAAGGAGGAGACCAAATTACTTCCGTCAAATTCAGGCTCTGTTCATCTAGGTCTCAGTATTTTCTTCTGCAAGAAAATACCGAATCTGAGAGTCACATTTAGAAAAAAGGGCACTCCGTGAAGTGAATCCCCCTCTTCTTCCCTCTCCTTTATCTGCCAAGACTGGAGAATTCATTCCCATTGGGCTTTTTGGTTTTGTCTCATTAAGATCCCAGGAAGAAATGCTTGTTACTGATGATGCTTATTTATTCATGCACTGCCTTGTCCCAGATGTTGAGATGGGGGTCAGGGAGAGTGGCTACCAGATGTGACACCATGATTTCCCTTTCTTGGAGGAACTTCTGAGCAAGTTGAGAGATGAGACTCACATAATTACGGGACAGCATCTGGAAGCGCTGGCATTCCTTAGAGAGTTCCACATGATGCCTTGGCATCAATCTTTTCCTGGGTCTAGGAGGGCCTCCCCAAAGAGGCCCCGAGTCCACAGGACACACTCTGCTCCTGCATCTTCTTTTTTAGGGGTACTGAGAGCCCTCTCCCTCCAATCTCTCATCTCTGCTCCATTGTTTACTCTTTTAGAAAGAGATTGATTCAGTTAAACCCTAATCAGGAAGATTGCATCCTGCCTCATTAGCATAACTGCCACTAAGCCTGCCTCATTAGCATTACAGAGGTTCCACATGAGATAATTGCATCAGATCACAAAATGGAGGATGATTGCACAATGCTGAAAATCAGGGCCTAGCTGAGCTGACATAACACAATCCTGTTCCTGACACTGGGCCTCCACACCTGTCTCTCGTGCGGTAGGCAGATGGTGGGTCTTAGGTGACAGCCAACGATGTCCCAGGTGCTACAGATGCTCAGAGGATTGAGAAGATTACAAAGTACCCAATGACTGCCACATAAGGAATGATCTGCACAGGTTGGGGCATCTTTTGGACAAAGAACAAAAGGGATCCAGGCCTTCCTTGAATAGCCTCCACTCCCCGCTCAAGTCATCTGCTTATGGTGGGTGGGGACTGCAGTAGCTGGTGAGGGAGGCAAGAAGTAAGGTCTTGAAGTAGCTCTCAAAGGCCACACGTCCATTCCTACACGAGGCTCAGTGGATCAGAACCCCTCCCCGTTTACATCATTTCTACAAAATCAAAACCTTGGGATTTGGAGGACCACATCTTCCCACAATGAAGTCCCTAGCTGGAAGAATTCCTGCTCTCCACAGAAGTTCTTGGTTGTTGTTAGCTTCCATCAAGTTGACTGTGACTCACAACGACCCTATGAACGGTGCATCTCGCCCTATCCTGTGCCAGCCTCACTAGCCCTGACATGCTCGAGCCCATTGCTACTTCACTGTGCCGATCCATCCTGTTGTGAGCCTTCCTCTCTTACGCTGACCCTCCAAGCTGACCTTTCCAAGCATGGTCTACTTCTCCAAGGACTTACTCTTGGTAGAGCAAAAGAATCGGTTAGATATGATCACGTGAGACAGACAGACCTCTGAATCTAGAGGGAGGTAGAGGTCACAGGGCAGCCCAGTGAAAACAGAGACAATGGTAGTAGCACAGCCCTGAGGTATCATTTACCAGGTAATGGGGACCTGCTACCCTGGAAATTCCATCCCTCCCTCAGCCCTTTCGCTGGGTCACCAAAAGAGAGTCTGGAACCAAAGCTGCCTTTGCACTGGCCAGGCAGTTGCCCCAGTAACCATGTCCAGCACCCCTTATTTTGCCCCCAGCCTGCCACAAAGCCCCTCTTCTCCAGGGGGAAGAGCGCCATCCCTTCTGCCCCCGGAGCCCACACCCTTGCAGCCTGGCACAATGGGCTCCCATGGAGTACACAGTGTTTCTCATTGTGCCACAAAATGCCATAAAGTCAGAACAAAGAGGGAGCCAGAGCCTTGATGGGCCTGCTGCTTCCTGCCGGGCGGAGAATACAACCGATTGTTTAAAAGCCAGTGGTGAGGCAAGTGGCCAATTAACGCGACCTTCACCCCAGCCTGTAAATGCGATTCGGCCCATGGGCATGGGATGCTGCTACTCAGATCAATTGCTGAAAGGAAGCACGGCTGCTCCCACTGCCAAATTTAGAAGCCCCGAAAGAGCGAAGGTGACCTGGGTTACCTCTTCTGCTGTCTGTAGAACTAAGCTCAGCCCTGCCAGTGCTGAATGTTAACCCTGCCGCCCCCCTCCACCCCCACCCCCGCACTCTGCCCACTTCCCTGCCACTTTAAGGTGATGTAAGGGATTCCTAGATGGTTCCCGGGACTAGAGAACTCTACAGCTGCTCACAGTCGCATTGAGGGGGAAATACAGTTCATTTTTCATTGTCTTCTTTCTCATAGTTGTCAAGAAACTACCTCCCAGCCAGCCCGGAAGAAAATCAAAGTAGGTTTGGGGGATATTTGCTAGTTAATGTAGTCCTTCTCAGTTATGCTGTGGAAGGAAGTGACGACCACCACCCGGGGGCAAAAATAACCACGCAAAGCTTGGGAAACGCTAGCTGTTGAAAACGATCAGGAAGGCGAGTCAAGTATGCGGGCTGCCGAGCAGATACTCATTTTAACTCATCCTGAAAGCAAGGACGAAGGCCTGCAGAGGGGAGAGGGCTGGGGCTAGGGGAACTTGGGCCCATCCTTGCTGGGCTTCTCCAGAGTCCAGTACTTGGGGAGCTTCTTGGTCTGTTACTGCAGCAGCCTCTGGGTTTTTCTTTCCCCTAACCCTGGATAATTGGTGCTCAGCCATGAGAGAGGGGGAAGACCAGGGTTATTCACAAGCTAGTGACTCCACTGGACTTTGTGCCTCTTGGCCTAAACAATTAGATCTGCTGGATTTAGCGGCAGAACAAGAGCAGTCTCCTGAGGAGGGTCTCTTCAAGGGGGTGAGATCGTCCTCAAACCGGTCCAAGAAGTCTCCCTCCTGTCAGTTAACCCCATAAAGAAGAACCAGACTGGAGAAAAATGTGCTTAATTAAAGCAAGAGGGCTCGCAGTCAGACTCGGGAAGAACTTCCCCACCAGCATGAAATTAAGCATAGCTATGACATGAGAGTGCCATGGCATTTCTGTGCCCAGATACTCTTCTGAGGAGAGATTTTACAGCTGCCAGCCCACATGCAGAATGCTGTTTCCTGAGGAAACTACCAAAAATACAGATCCCTGGGGCCCTGGCAAAGATTCCCATTCAGGCCATAAGGGGCAGCCATGGAATCTGTCTGACCCCACACTGGCTGGGGGTTCCAGTGCAGAATCACATTTTATGTGTTCAGCAAACATGCCCTCCCCAACCCCCATTGCACCAGCTCAGGGCCAGGTGACCCCCAGTCTCCACCACGGAGGACCAGTCCCCCATGAGCAAGCCACCAGCTGACCATTGTCAGAGACAGAAGGGGGTCCTGCTCTCCATTCACAAAAGGAGCCCCCATTCCCTGTCCTGGGAAGCCTGGTGAGGGCTTAGTGCCCTTCGTCCCTTCATGTGGCCCCCAGACCCAACGGGCATCCCTTTGGCCTCTCCCTGTCCATGGGCTGCCTGCGAGAGAGCCAGTGAGGTTCCGAAAGAACTCTGTGTCCCTGGCACGTCCTCTGCCCCTCCACTGGATCACCTGAGCCAGCGAGTGGCCCGGAGGGTCCCCCATCTTGGCCTTGGCTGGGAGCCTCCGCTGAGGAAAGGGCATGACGGTGCGCTAACCTCAGGTGGCGGCCTCGACCCAGCAGGTTGAGACTAGGACAGGGTCCCCGCTCCCCCAGCGCCCCTGCCCCGCCCTGGCCCTGCTGACTCTGGGCGCCCAGGCAGCCATCCACCCGGGTGGCTTTGGTAGGCACGGGCGACCCCTGGTGTCCAGTGTGTGCTGGTGCCTCTGCTCTTGGTGCCGCAGATAAAGAGTGGGCTTTCCCAAGTTGGAAAGGGTCGGGAAGGGACACTTGACCCCTAAGTCCAGACTGCAAGGATTCCCTGGGATGGTGGTAATGGAATTGGTTGGGATCCCACGACGGGCAGGAGGGGATCTTGAGGCCCCTTCTAGCAGGTGCCTACCTGCCGAGCTCCCCCCATGATGGCCTGACTCTAGAGACGTTCTTCAGGGAACAAGGACTGATGGATGCTAGGGTCCTGTCCTCAATGCCCCAGCCCCCAGTTCACCCCTGGCGTGCAGGCCACCTGCCTCAGCTTGTGCACACACACCCCATACACTGGCGGGTGTCACCTCAGCAGAGGAGAGCCAGGAGCAGAGGGATGGGCCTGGCCAGCTGTCAGACTTGGCCTGGCTAACTGCCAGCACCATTATCAAGACAACAGCCAGCACAGCCAGAGGCAGAGCCACGTGGCCCCGCCCTCCCCCAGGCCACACTCTGGTCCCCAGCAGCCTGACCTGACTCACCTGGTTGGCAGCACGGTGGTGCTTAGATGGGCTGCCAGCGCTGAGTCACAGCTGTGACCTGCCACCCCACTCAGTCAGGTAAACAGTAAGGAGGAGAGGTGAGACAAGGGCACATCAGGCAATATCCCACAGCCTTGCTGTGGCTCTGGGGTGCACATGTTCAGCAGGAACCCCACCCCTGCACTGGGAACACAAGCGGCCCCCAGGTAATGACAATGGAAGAGAGGCCCTGGGGTTGTGTGCCCAGGTCTGACAACCCATCACGTGGCTCTGTGAACCAGCTCCTGCCAGCTGGAAACCAGCTGGCAGGAATGACTGTTGCCATAGCAGAGCCCAAGGCCACCGAGGAGGAACAATGCCTCCTGCAGCTGTGTGTGTCCAGAGAGGAGCAAGGGCACACTCGGGCCTTCAGGTCAAATGCTGGGTAGAGCAGACCCTGGCCTGGGATCAAAGCAGTCAGCCTGTGTGCAAAGCATGGGACTGTGCAAAGGCCCTGGGACAGCTCCTAGGCCTGGGGCTGCTTTGAGACCAAAGGTGGGAGCCAAGAGCGTCCAGGAAAGGGTATCGTCAGCTCCTTGCCCTTCTTCAAGAGTCAAAAAATGTATCTAAATAGAGAGCACCCAGCCCAATAAGGAAGGATATTTGAGATCAAATTTGCCCCAAGAAGTCTTACTCTGCCTCCTCTACTCATTCCCACATCACATGGCCCTCTCCTTCCCCTGGTCTGTTCTCTAGGTTTGTTATAAACTGAGCTCAGCTCCTCCCTACCCTGCAGTTTGGGAGATGGGGCTGTGGGGGGCTCCCTGAGAAGGGCAAGCATTTTCGGGACACACTCTCAGAACCAGTGTCAGCACCAGCTATGTGGAGAGATGAAGGCCACTAGAGTCTGGTTAGACCCCCCACTGCAGTCCCGGGCCTCCTAGCCCCACTCGGGGATGCCATATCCCTCCGTTACAAACCCCACAATCCACCGTGGTTTCACAGCCTGAGAGACCCTCTTGCTTTCCAGATTCCGAGCTGGGAGATGGAAATGAAGGCAGCGTTTATCAAAGCAATGGTCGGGTCATCTAGTGAGGAGGCTGGCCACGGGGACCTACGTGCCTAGCCAGCTCTTCTGCATCTCCACCTGCCTCCCTTCCTCCTCTTCCTCTTTACTGACACAGGAACCAAGGTCCTGCTTGAGCAACAGCCACCAGCTGGGCCCCAGCCAGCCTTGGCCACGCAGCGAGGGTTGTTGGGGCCCGAGCAGGCTACCCTTCTGCCCCTCTGCAGACGCCCAAGCGAACCTGCAGCCCTGGCAGGCCCAGAGGTCTGAGTGTCCCTTTAGGCCACACACCACCCTGAGTGGAATTAGGACACAGTTCAGTAAACTGACTTTATTTACCCAGCCTTGTTAATGTTGATTTCGTTCTCCTCGGACAAAACCTCCAATTCCCAACTCCCCTCCACTGTCCCAAACACATCCATAGGCTCGGCCAGGCTGTATCTGGGTGGCAACCCTCCAGAACTGGTTTGCTATACAAACCTGTCACTTCTCCCTGATGTCCTGTGGCACCATAATTACATCTGAGGAAACAAAGGTCAAGTCAGGACTTGGCGTGAAAAACATCACAGAGGGTCTTGTGTGAGAGACAGAGAGACCTGAGACAGAGACACAGAAGTAGAAGGGTTCAAAGAAAGCAATGGAGTGACTGCTGATTATACCAAGTGAAAGAAGCCAGACAGAACCAGCCTCGTATTGTGTGACTGTGTCTGTGTGAAATTTCTAGAAAAGGCAAAACCAGAGAGAAAGCAGATGAGTGGTATCGCAGGACTGGGATAGGAGCATTTATTTTTTTTTTTTACTTCAAACAGCTGGGACAAATTTGGGGAGTAATCAAGGCTTCCTGATGCTAGTTTATGTTAATGTTTACACACGATAAATTGACTAAAGCTCACGGACCTGTATGCTGAAAAGGGATGAACTTTATGGTGTGATTGTAAATTGTGCCTCATCGAGATTTCTCAGTGAATGGAAGGATTGGGAGGTGTGGCAGTGGAGGGGATATGAGGAAGAGAAAGGGGTGTCTGCCTTCTGCCTGAGCCCCATACCCCTCAGCCCAAGAGTGAGCAATTCCTGGGAGCCTGCCCCACCCTGTGTGCTCAGAGCACAAGCTTTTGTGCAAAAGCTGGACTTTCTGATGCCTGTCAAGTTTTAGGAACTGTGGTGACCTAGGGGGTAAGGAGTTGCTTTGCCAACCGAAAGGTGGGCAGTTTGAATCCACTAACTCCTTTGCAGAAGAAAGATGGGCATTCTTCTCTAACGTGATTTACAGCCTCTGAACACTCTGAAGGATCAGCTATGGGTCACTTCCACCTTGGCAGTAATGAGTGAGTGAGACTTGAATTGGTTGACAAGGATCCGGGGGTTCATCGTGGAGATGGTGCAGAACTGAGCAGTGTTCCGTTCCAGTGGGCATGAGGTGCTAGTCGTCAGCTGACACCCACCATAGACGTGAGTTACATTCACATCTCAGCCCACTCCTCTGCTGTGTTCCACACCTAAGCATAAAGTGGCCCAACTACTGCAAATGAGTAAACCAGGTAGCTAAAAAATGAAAGTAAAACAAAACACAGCAGACAGACTTGGATGTTAATAGAGCCTAAGAGAGTCATAAAATGTCTCCATGTTCTAAATAAAGATCCTAAAAGCTCAAGTTCCTCCATTCACAGAGCCCTGAATCTTAAGAATTCCATGAGAAGATGGGCCTCTGTGTTTTATCTAAGAGATTTGCCCAGGAGCCACTAGGCTGAAATGTAAGAAGGGACCAGGGGGCCTGTTTAGAGAGATATGCTGGGGAGAGCGTCATGAATTTGAGATAACTGATCGCTAACATCCACTGAAGACGTGACAGGGTTTGAAGCCTCTGCCCTGCCTCACAGGTTTACATCCACCCTTTATTGGGGACAAGATGTAGTTGCGAGGTTCTGTTGGGTCCATTCCAGCTCACTTCAGAACAAAAGCCTGCCAGGTCCTATATCACCATCACCCTTGTTGCTATGTCTGTGTCTAGTATAAGTCACTAGTCAGTCCGTCTTTTGAGGGTCTTCCCCTTTTTCACTGACCTCTGAAAAACAGACACAACAGAGTTGATAGGTCGGGACAACCTTGAGTTCAAAGACTTTCTGCGGGGTTGCAGCGGACTCCCATCAACCCCCTCACCCAGGAAGAGTGGAGGAATGTTCTTCCAGCGTGGACAAGAGGAGTCCCTTCACGTCTTTGTACCTGGGTTCCTTCATCTGTGGAAACACCTACCTCATGGGTCCACAATCAACATCCATGGTAGCAGCAATCAAGAGCTCAGAGGATGTGGGCTTTAAAGAGTCAAAGGGCAAGGATGTCAGTTTAAAGACTAAGGTGTGCCTGACCCAAGACAGTGGTTTCAGTTGCTTCCTGTGCATGTGGAAGTTGGACAATGAATAAAGACTAAAGGAGCCAATGCCTTTGAATTGTGGCATTGCTGAAGAGTGCTGAGTATCCCATGTGCTGCCAACAGAACAAACAAAGCTGTCTTGGAGGATGTGCAGGCATGGTGCTCCTGAGAGGCAAAGATGGTGAAAACTCCCTCTCACATACTTTGGGCAAGTTGTCACGAGGCCCCAGTCCTTGGAGACCGACTTCTTGCTGGGAAAAGTAGAGGGTCTGCAAAGGATGTCACTGAGCTGAGTTGACTAAGTGCCTGCAGCAGGGGATGGGAGCCTGGTGAATGGAGATCTTGAGAATGGATCTGTTCAGAGCATCACCGTGACTTGGCAGCATGGGGTGTGGGGCGGATTAAATGCGTTAAGATGTCCCGCATCTGTAGTAGGGCCCATGCATGGTAAATGTTTACGAAAAAATTATTTTCACAGAGTCTGAGTCCCCCTGCAGTCCCAGGGTGGGTCAAGACATTATCCAAATGTTTCCTAAGTCCCTGAGGGCAGCACAGCCCACATAAGCCTGGATGATCAGGGACAGACATCTGCTTGCTGTGATGCCTGGACACCCCTCAACGCCCTGCGCTTAGAGGGGCATGGGAGAAGGCAGAAAACACCCCAGACTAGACAACCTCCAGACTAGACTTCCCCCAGACTGCTAGCAGGACAGCTTGCTTCAGCCGAGCGGTGTGTGGCCGCGACCAGGGCGCCCCCGCGAGGCCTCGCCAGGTCTGCGCTCGGCAGCCTCGCTCCCTTCCCGCCTAGAGCTGGCGTCCCGCCGGCGCCCGGGCCGGGAAGAAAGGACTGGAGTCTGCGCTGTTCCCGGCGGGAGGGGACGCCGCCAAGCCCGCGCCCTCCTGAGGCCTCCAGGCGTCGCTGCGGGCAATGGGGAAGAAGGGCGCAGCCTGAGCATCTGGGCACTTTCATCTCGGGGGACGGGGCCCCCATCGCTCCCCTTTCCTCCCTTCCCGGGAGATCCATCTCTTCACTTTGTCGCAGGCCAAGGGGTCTTGTGAGCAGGACCGCCCTGCTGCTCTCCCAGCACCCACAGAACCTGGCACAGCGGCCCCGCGATAGGACCCTGGGACCGTGCAGTGTCCCCGGCCTCAAGTACCCTCGGCCGCCAGAGGACCTGGCATCCGGTGTTCAGGGAGGGCGGAAAGGAAGGGGGGGCCCCGAGACCAGCGCGGGGAGCAGATGTCTGAGCGCACTCAGCAGAGGCCTCCATGCGAGAGGCTTAGCACAGGGCCCCTCAGGGCCTGCAAGCCCTTCTAAAATGTTCATGGTAGTGAGGGACTAGGCTCTGGGAAGGACTCCCCACTGAGGGGCCAAGTATTTGGATGAAACCCCTAACCGCCCCCCAGCAGTGTTCCCTGCACTGGGCACCTACCCCAGCCCTTCCCCACGCCCCTGTGCAGCCTTGCTGCTTAGGGAGCCCCTGCCGTGCGTGACTCACTCCCTGGTCAAGCAGTCCTTAAGTTCAGACCAAGCACAGGGAGCTGCTCTAATCAAAGGTTTGGAAAGCAGACTGCCTCGGGGTGAAATGCATCCATCATTGAGGATTCCCCAGAGGATGGGCCTCCTTGAGATGAGAGCCTCACACGTGCACTGCTGGGACAGTGGCTATGATGGGTTCTCATTCACTGCTGTGGTCCTGGGCCAAACCCCAGGCAGCTCTCCCTCCCCACACACCAGGTGTGCTGGCTTGTATCTTCATAGAGAAGCACTGGACAGACACACACAAAATCATCAATGGTGTCGGGGCAGGTGGGAGCAAGACTTCTTCATGTCCCTTTGTATCGGTTAGGTTTTGAACCATATGGATGGATGTATTATCTATTTTAAAAAGTGGAAACTTGTAAAAAAAAAAAACCCCAAACAAACAAAAAATAACCCATAAACAAGGCAAAACACACACACACTCCCCACCCCCACTGCTGTGGTACTGGTCCAAACCACAGTCTTCCCATGCCTGGATTACTACAGGACCTTCCTCACCCATCTTCCTGCTTTCACTCCCCACTTCCCATCCACCTCCTTTTCCCCCATCCTGGCCAGAATGACCTCGGTCAGGGGTCACTTGGGTTAGCCACTCCTGCCATTTCCTCCAGTGACTTTCCAAGAGCCATAAAACAGTATTCCCATTCTCCCATTCATTGTCTCTGGGCCTTGGACTGTCTAGTCCAGCCCACCCCCGCGCTTCCTGTGGTCACCACTCTAGCCAGCCTCATCTGCTTGCTGGTGCTCCAAGAAAATGGGGACCCACCACCACCTAGAGTTCTGCACCTCCTGGTCCCTCCCTCGCTCTCTCCAGTCACACAATCTACACTGGCTGTTCCTCCTCTCAGCCTGCTTTATTCTGCCCTGTGGCTGCTAAACTGAAATCCACTGCTACTCCGAGGAAAAAAATGATGTGACAATCAGCTCCCATGTAGATTCCAGCCTCGAGTAAGTAGCTCTATTCAGTCCCACTGGGCTGGAATTAATTTGATGGCACTTGAGTTTTGGCATTCAGTTTTTTCCAGTCCGGAGCTCCACCTGACCAGACATCAGACTCAGCACACAGGGTCTTCTGTTTGTTGCTGTATCTCCTGCCCAGATATCCACTGAATGGACCAGCAGCTGAGTGAAGATGGTGTTGGAGAAATACCCCAAGCCATTTTCCCCTCATCCTAGCTGGCTTCATTCCATTTCCCAAGCAAGCCAAGACCAAATACTCCCAAGGGCAAATCTGAATTTTCTCATGGTTCAGAGATAGGCATAAAGGCAGCACTGGGAAAAAAGGATGTTTATCTGCCACCCCGCTGGGCACGGGCATCTAAGATGCTCCTGAAGTAACAGTAACAGCTGATATGGTGGAACACATAGTGCATGAGCTGAGAAAGTCCTGGAAAATAAATCCATAGAGTACACCCTAGAAAACTACTGCGCCATTCCTCACTTAACACAGGGTGGCCATGACCTGGAGTCAACTCAAGGGTAGCGGGTTAGCATGCACACTAGAGGGCGCTCTTCACTACCGTCTTGCGTGGGCAATCACACTCCTCAAACATCCTTCACAAAGCCTTTTGAGGTAGTTCTGCTCCACTGTCCCCAATTACACAGGCTGAGAAATGGGGTGCTCTACCGCATGTGATTCCCCAGGGAGAGGACAGGGGCGCAAGTCCAGCAGGGACCCTTGGAGAGTCCTCACTCGTGTCTGCAAAAGTACAGCCCACTCCACTGGGCCATGAAGCAGCCCCTGCTCGCAACCCAAGGCATCCTTTTCTCTCTCAAGGCTCTTAAAGGAGTTTTATTTCTTTGCCTTACTTCACCCCCCCCCAACAGTGACACATTTTTTAAAAATTTGAGAACTAAAAAAAGAGGGACTATATCTTCCAGTCTATGTTCATTCACATTGTCCCACGCCATGGCACCAGGACTGGCAGGGCGCTCCATCGGGGCCTGGATGGGAGTCCGGCTTCTCTTCTTGAAAGGGACTTGGGCAGCATCAGGTAGGGCCTCCCCGGCACTCCGGAGCTGGGCCTTGGGGTCCCACTGGAGTGCGGCACCTGTGGCTGCCCTGGCATCTGCTTCATGGAGGCCCTTGGATCTCTGATGACCTCCTCCCCTCTCCCCAAACCAGAGTCAGGAGCTGGAAGCTTCAGGGAAGTTATTTTGGTCCCCACAGGGGACTCTTTCAGAGGCAGGGCCCTCCCCTACACCCGCACCCCAGGAGGTTGGGGTGTCTGCCATCCAGTTTCCACCCTAGTAGACACCACACTGGTGTAGATTCTCAAGCTGGGCCCAGGACTCTGCTGCCAAACCCCATGCCACTCCAGCAGGCACAGGAAGGGTAAGCTCCCACCCAGAGCCAGAGGGCCCCCAAGCCCGAAGGCCGAAGGCTGTGGCTCAGGAGGAAGGGCAAAGTGAGGAGGGGAGAGAGGAGTCCGGGTGGGGTGCTCAGACTCCCTGTGGCCAAGTGGGAATAGAAGCAATAGGGCTGCCTGAGGGGACAGGCGTGGGGCTCCTCAAGCTCTGCAGAAAGGAAGGGGTCCTAAGGTGAGGGCAGCAGACCTGGGAAAGAGGCCCAAGGAGACAGAGATGGTAGAGGCTCCCAGTTCCCCACCTACCCTGCCTCTGGTTATCATAGGCACAGAGCCGGGTGACAGGACCCCAGCACCAGAAGAAGGGGAACACCACACTGTACGCAGTCCAGCCCTCAGGAGAGAGGGGGACTCTGGTAGTCCGGGCCCTGCCCAGCCCAGGCTCCCAACAGCAACTCCCAAGGGCACCCCTCCATTGACCAACTGGACTGGTAGTGAGAGGGGGTTCCTGGTCCTCCAGGATCCCAGCCTCCCAGCTCCTCCTGCCCCAGCCCTCCCCATGCCCATGGCTTTAGTCTTGCTGCTCGTTCATTTCCATGTCGGACACCAGAATGTTCTTTTCCGTGGCTTCGCCGGGGCCGGATGAGCTGCGGCTGTAGCGGGCACCCTCGAAGGCCCCTCGCTCGGCGTTCTTCCGCCGCCGGTAGAGGACCAGGGCTGCGGTGAGCAGCGCCAGGAGTAGCAGCACCGCCATCAGCACCACCACCAGGGCGGCCGGGTTCTCCGGGAGCGCAGCTGCAGCAAGAACACATGGAGCCTGGAGCCGGGCCCACCAGCAGCAACAGTAGGGAGACGGGCACCAACCTTCACTTACCTGAGGGGGCGAAGCTGCTCTCCTCCGCTGCTGGGGTGGAGAGGGAACCAGTCACTTACAGCAATGATAATCACACCCTTTTAGAACGCTTCCTAAGTATCAGACCCTCTTTAAATGCTGTTAATGGTAAGCACTTTGTTGGGCTGCTAAACCAAATGTGGAAAGTTCAAATCCATCAGCTGCTCCACAGGAGAGAAATGAGGTAGTCTGCTCCCGATAAAATTTACCCCTGGGAAACCAATGGAGGGTTGACTCTGACTTAGGATCGGCTGAAAGGCTGTAGAGTTTTGGTTCCCTGATGTGTGCAAATGCTCTGATGTTAACCAAAAAAGGGGATGGTTGAGCCCACACAGAGATGCCTCAGAAGAGGAGGGCCGGTGATCTACTTCCCAAAATCTAGTCATCGAAAACCCAGAGGAGCACAATTCTATGCTGGTGATGTGGGGTCACCATGCATCAGAGCTGACAAAACAGAAACTTCTTAAGTTTGCACCCTGGAGGTAAGAATTTTGAAGCTTCCTCTCACATACTTTGGGCAAGTGGCCAGGAGGGACCAGTCCTTGGAGAAGGACGTCATGCTTGGAAGGGTAGAGAGACAGCACAGGAGAGAAAGACCCAGTGTGAGATGGATTGACACAATGACTGAAGGAAAGAGAGTAGGTCTGTTGGAAATGATGAGATTGGCTCAGAATAGGGCAGGGTTCAGAGCTAATGAGAGCTAAGAGTTGCAGGTGACTCGATGGCACATAACAAGGATAGCATTATCATCTACACTGTATGCAAAAGGAAAGTGAGGTATAGAATTTAAATAACTTGCCAAAGGTCAAAAGTTGTTGAGTAATGGAGTGCCAATGTAACTCTTCATGCCATGCCCTTAATGACTACAAAGGCTGGAATTCCCACAACTGTCCTTCCCACAGAGCAATTAATCTCAGAGGAGGGTCCCAGCTCCCCCAAGCTGGGCTGTCCGTGCCCTCCTGCCCACCACGACCCCTGAAGATTGAGAAGGGGTTCCTGACTCCAGCACAGGTGTAGACAGAGGCTGTGTCCACCTATGGGCAACGCACCTCGAGGGAGCTTGCAGACCACGCCCATGGTGACGTTGGCGCAGGCGCCGGGCCGCCACAGTCCGCTGCTGCTCTGGATCCAGTAGCAGCTGTTGTGGCTCAGCATGCTGGGGCCCAGGCCAGGGGGACCCCAGTTGGAGTAGTTAACCACTGTGTTATCCTGCCAGACCAGGGTGCCTCCTACAGGAAAGAAGGCACAGAGGGGGCACGGGGGGCGGGGAAGAACAAGGTGGAGCAGGGCAGGAGGGAGAGAGCAGGCTGGTTCTAGAGCAACCTCCACACCACCCATCACCCTGGTCAAGCCCGATGGCAGGAGGGCATCCCCCTGTAATCGGAGGCCTTATTCACCCTTAACTCACAAGGTACCCACCTTTGGGGTTGAAGTTCATTCCAAGCCAGGCACCCAGACTCTGGCCCTCCGTGCTCTGCAGATGTTCCCAGATGAACACGTTCTCCATCTCATCCAGGATGGACAGGACCGTTCCGCCCACTGGACACAAGGGAGGCCCCCATCAGCACAAAGAGGCCTCCCCGGAGGGGCACAGCCCCTGAGGTGGCCCAGCCCTCCTCTCTGGCAGCCTGAGGGAAGTGGGTGTGAAACCTGTGCATTTGTGTATGGAAAGGTGTGAATGCGTAATGCCCATGTGTGGTTGGTGCCAGTGCCAAACACGCAGGAGCCCCTTCCATGTACAGATGTATTACTAGGGGTTATGTCCTTCCCTGCTGGGAGCACAGAGCCAGTGGGACAGGCAGACACATAAACAGTGTTGTTAGAGACCATCCTGTCATCCTGGATCCAACAACTCTGTTCACAACAGAACAATATGCTGCCTGGTGCTGCACCATCTGAATGGCACGTATGGATCAGAGTTTCCACTGTCATCATGGAGTTTTCTCACTGCTCTGGAAGGACCCTTGAGTTGCTACTGTCTATGAGCATGCATATCCAGTTCTGAGAGAGCATGAAAAGCCATGGCCTTTTAATTACTTCCTACACATCTGAGAGCTGAACCATGAATAAGGATGACGGAAGAACCATCAATGTCTGTGAGCTGTGTTGTTGGAGCAGAGTGCTGAACATCCCCTGGACAGTCAAAAGAACAAACTGGTGTCCTGGAGGAGTGCAAACTGGGTGGTCCTTAGAGCTAAGGATGACGACACTTTGTCTCACACACTTTGGGCAAGTTATCAGGAGAGTCCAGTCTTTGGGAAAGGTCATTGTGCTGGGAAAGGGTCAGACCAAGAGAGGAAGACTCTCAACAAGACGGGCTGACACAGTGACTAACAATGGGCTCAAGGATATCAGGTCGTGGGGATGGATCCAGACAGGGCAAGGTTCGGTCTGTTGTTCCTAGCGCCCCTGTGAGCCACAACAACGAATATAAGAGCATAATGCTCAAGGCAGCTCTTTACTGGTTAAACTGAACTACTGTTTGATTTTAAGGTGACTTCCAGGGATGGTTTTTGTTTAAAGTTTAACTCAGGGCAATAGCTTTCAGGGGTTCATTGAGCCGCCAAGTCTCCAGGAAGTCTGTAATTTGTGAGAGTTTGAAATTCTGTTCTGTTCCCCTTTTCATCAGAATTCCTTTCTGAAAACCTTGACCAAAATGTTTAGATGGCAGCCAGGTCTTCTCGTCTCATAGCAAAGGAGACAGTATCCATGGAGGCAGCCAGCCTCCACTTCATTCTCTGTAGCCTCTCCTAGGCCCAATTCTTTATCCGATTCCATTATTTCTAATGAATAGAGACCAACTGCTGTGGCCTTGGATGCTCTTACACAATGAACTAGGAAGTAGAACAGAATCACTAACAGGTTATCAGACCCACTAGCTGGCCTGTCTCATGAAACCATAACCCTAAACTCCAAAGCAAAGAACCAATTCTGTGAGGTGTTTGATTGTCTATAAGCAGCGGCCACCAACTATTGTTTGGCTGTTGTTGTAAATGTATCTATCAAACAACTTCGGCCAATTCCACTTTTTTATAGGTACAACTTATTAACTGGCAGTGCCAATTATACCCTTAATCAATGTGATTTTTCCGATCACCACTAACCTCCCCTTTGCTCCCTCCCTCCAACCCCCGGTAAACACGAATACGCTTTGGTCTCTGTACGTTTGCCTGCTCTTGTGTTTTTATATACCTCAATGAGCTCATATAATATTCCTACTTTTGTGATTGGCTCAAGTCGCTCTACATAAACTTTTCAAGTTCCATTCACATTATAGATGCATCAACACTTCATTTCTCAGTAAGGGATTGGTAAGACATTTATAATTACTTAATCATATTTAAGTATAAAATAAAATGTGTATGAATGATTGAATGAAAAAGCATTATAATTTATGAACTTTTACTCAAATGAATAAAAAATATCGTGCTTTTCTGCTATTGGCCAAGTAGTATTCGCTGCATGTTTGCACATTTTTTATCCATTCTATCTTGATGGGCCTTTTTTTAAAGTCCCTGCTATCAACTCTTTGGAGTATACAGCTAGAAGAGGACATACAACCAGTGTGCGCCTGAGAGACAGGGATGGTGACACTTCATTTCTTGTACTGTGGGAAGGTACCAGTCCTTGGAAAAAGACAGCATGTGGGAACAGCAGAGGTTCAGCAAGAGAAAGATCACTTTTAATGAGACAGATCAGATACAGTGGCTGCACACAAGTGGCTCGAGCTGGTGGAGATGTGAGGGGGCTGCAGGGTAGGATAAGGGTTTGATCTGTTAGGTTGAAGTTGACTCAATGGCACTTGACAACATGGTAGTTCTGTTTATTATTCTTTGTGCGTGTACTGTCAAATCAGATCTGATTGGTACAGGAGATTGTCCCTCCTTCTCCAGCAGAGCTTCTGTAATGTAATTCTTAACATTTAAGCTTGGGAAGAATTGCTGTTTTCCACAACAGCTGCATCATTTTCATTCCCACTAGCAATAAACAAGCATTCCGATTTCTCTGCGTCCTCACCATCATTTATTCTTCTCTGGTTTGTTTTTGTTTTGTTTTCATCTTATTTGTCCTTTGTTGCTGCTAGCTGTCATCAAGTTGGCTGCTAGGGTCCATATGGACCCTCCATACAACAGAATGCAACGCTGCCTGGTCCCGTGCCAGCCTGAGAATCGCTGTGCTGCTTGAGTCGGCTGTTGGCAGCCACTGTGTCAATCCAGCTCACTGACGGTTTTCCTCTTTCCCTCCATCTCTATGTTGTTAGGTGATGTCAAATAGATATCATAGCGACCCTATGAACAACAGATCTGAACCTCATCCTATCCTGTGACGTCCTCACACTTCCTGATACATTAGAGTCCACTGCGGCAGTCACAGTGTCAATCTACCTGGTCGAGGGTCTTCCTTTACTGACCCCTCTACCTTTTCAAGCATCATGTCCTCTCCAAGGAATAGCCCTTCCTAACATGCCTGAAATATGTGAAGCAAAGCCTCACCATACTTGCTTCCAAAAAGTACTCTGGATGCACCCTCTCCAAGACATACCTGCTTTGTTCTTTTGGCCATCTGTGGGATGTTCAGTGCTCTTCTCCAACACCACAGCTCAAAGGCATCGAGTCTTCTTCTGTCTCCTTATTAACTGTTCAGCCTTCAGATGCATAGCAAGTGATCAGGAAGACCATGGCCTGAACCAGATGCACCTTAGTCCTCAAACCAACATCATTATTCCTCAATAACCTGGAGAGGTCCCTAACTGCAGACTTTTCCAGTGCAATAAGTCTCCCGATTTCCTGACTGCTGGTACCAAGGGTGTTAATTGTGGATCCAACTAAGATGAAGTTGTTGATAGTGTCAATCTTTTCTCCATCCATCAAGATGGTGACTATTGGTCCAGTGGTAAGAATCTTTATATTCCTGACATTGAGATTCAACTCATATTGAAAGCTATATTCTTTGATCTTCTGCAATAAGTGCTTCAAGTCTTCCTCACTTTCAGCAAGCAAGGTTCACATTCCTCTACAATGAGTCCAACTTCTTGAATAATTGGCTCAGCATACAGATTGAATAGGTATGGAGAGAGAATACAACTCTGAAACACTCCTTTCTTAATTTTAAACCACGTAGTGTTCCCTTGCTCTGATCACACAACAGCCTCCTAGTCTAGCTATAGGTTTCACATGAGCACAATTAAATGCTCTAGGATTCTGTTCTCCTCAAGGTTAGCCACAATTTGTTATGATCCACACAGTCAAATGCCTTTTCATAATCAATAAAGCACAAATACACAATCTTCTGGTATTCTTTACTTTCACCCAGGATCCATCTGACATCAGCAATGATATCCCCAGTGCCACGATCTCTCTTCTAGCAGTTTCCTATGTAGCCATTTTTGAACAATCTTCAGTAGTATTTTGCTTGCATGATATTAATGATACTGTTTCCCATTTCTATACCTAGCATGATTTCCTTTTGCTGTGACTGGTCCCTCCTGATGACAAGTCATCCTAGTGGGAGTGAAATGCTTTCTCATTGTAGTTTTGATCTTCATCTGATGGCCAATGATACCAAGCATCCTTCTTGTGTTTGGTGACCATTTGAATGTCCTCTTCGATAAACTGCCTAAACATTGCCTTTGCCCATTTTATAATTGGGTTGTCTTTTCATTGTTGTCAACATTTTTTTAATTTTTTTTTATTATTTTTAATGAAAGTTTACAGAGACTTAGGGTTTCCAGTCATTCATTGTTGTACTTTGTTGTCAACATTTTGTATACTTTTTATTAGAGATAGATGATAGATAGATAGATAGATAGATAGATAGATAGATAGATAGATAGATAGATAGACAGACAGATAGTTGACTGCTGCTGAGTTGAGCATAATTCAGTGACCCTATGAACAAAAGACCTTTCTATAACTATCATCATTTCTCAAAGTTCATAGTTTCCAGAGGCATGTTGTTTAGGAAGTGGATGCCACTTCACAGTCAGTCATTTATCTTTCCACATCTTTGGCAAAGTTGTTTTATGAGCAAAGATTTTTCCTTGTTATGAGGTTTCAATTATTATTTTATCTTTTATTATTGGAGCTTTTGATAGATAACCCAATGTTAAAAGCTAGGCCTGATAACATTGCCTCTACTTTTCTTTTAAGAATTTTATGGTTTTAGCCTGCACATTTAGGTCTTTAATCCATTTTTTATTTATCTTTGTGTATGGTATAAGGCAAAATTTTTGTTTCCTTTTTCTGCATGTAGAAATCCAATTTCCCCAGCCCCATTTCTTTCTCCATCAAATGGACTTTGCATCTTTGTCAAAAAATCAGTTGACTCTAGATGTGTGGGTTTATTTCCGTTATTCTGTAGAATAGTTCCATTCTGTTCCAATGATCTGTCTACTGTTACACAAGAAGTACCAGGTTGGTTTGATTACTGCAGACGTATCAAAAAAAACACACCACAAAAAAACCTCAAACTCATTGCCATTGATTTGGAACTGAGTCACAACTGACTCTCCATTGAGTTTTCAGAGGCTGTAAATCACACAGGAGGAAGCTGTCCATCTTTGTCCCATGGAGTAGCTGGTTTATACTAACCATCTGCCTTTAGGTTGGCAGCACAACTCCTTATGGACTAGGCAATCAGAGCTCTCACTGTTACCGGGGCTTGAAATTAGGAAGTGAGAGACCTACTTTGTTCTTCTTTCCTCACACTGTTTTAGCTATCAGAAGCCTCTTGCTGGTTTTCCTATGTCAATAATGAAGGCCATTGGGCTTTTTCTTGGATTTGCAATGATATAGATTATTAGGTGGTAGTGACATCTTAACAATTTTAAGTCTTCTAATCCATGCATTCGCTTTCACTGGCTGATTTATGGAGGCAGATTGCCAGGTCTTTCTTCCTAGTCTGTCTGGTCTGGAAGTTCTGCTGAAACTGTGGTATTAAGGGTTTATTCAATGTGGCTTTCCTAGCCAACTGTTTGACTTTGCCTAGTAGATGGACAGAAATATATGAATAGGGCGTGTTAGCCTATCCACAAGGAGACTGGCTAGTCTTGCCAATAAATTGAGTGGCTCAAGCAGCAGAATTACAACCTTCTCTGTTGCCAGTGAATAAGAAGCAAGAGACTGTAGCATGTTCTTCAGGCCTAGAAATTCCTGCTGCAGCTACACATATGGCAGCAGCAGCCATAGCTGAAACAGAAGACCATGGAGATCTGACAGGAGACATCACTAACTGCTACCCCCTCACGGACAGAACCAGGGCTAAGCTAAGAGCTTTTACCCAAGTTTGCTGGACAAAAGATATGGGAGGGGAAGCCAATACTGACAGGACTGAGAACACTGTCCTAAAGCCATGAGGCTCAAAGCTGAGGTGCCTGAGAGCATATTTCCGGAGCTGTCCTGACTGGATTCTGCTACCAATCTGGATTATAACCTTTTGACTTCCCCGATATTTTCCACTGTGGTGTGTGAGCTATTGCATCGAATTTTGGACCCAGTAAAGCAGTAAGATTGATGATGTTGAGCAGAAAGAGGTCCAGGTGCATGGAGACATGTCTGACCTCACGGGAACTGGTTTTGTGATGTTGATGCTATTGACAGGGACCGTTTCCCTTTGTGAAGTTGGTAAAGGTCAGATATGGCCGTCCCCATGTGGCTCTTGCTCTTTTTACAAAACCCTTCACCATCAAAGCAATATGCAAGCTGCCAGTGACAAGACAGTGACAAAGTGGTAGCTGTACATGGGGTGCAGTGGTCAGCAATCAAGCCTGACTCTGACTGTCCATTGGTCTATGACTGTTCATGGCAAGAGGTCACCCCTGAAATGTCCATATTCTTCAAATGCCCAAATATGAGTTCCAGTTTGAGGATGTACCCACCCCACGTCCTGCCCCACTGACCTCTCTGGCAGCGCTGAATCGCCTCCTTGTGTCCCAACAGCAGCTCCAGGTGAAAAGAGTAGCAATACTCTCGGAAGGGAATCCACATGGAGTCGGCCAGGCCCTGGGGGCAGCTGCCTTGGTAGCTTATTCTTCCAGGAGAAGGGGGCCCTGTAGGGATGAAATGGAGGAATGGCCCAGGATCCTCCCAGAGTCCAGGTGCCCCTTGCTCCCCAATCCCCCAGCCCCAGTGCTGGGCATTCACTACCCTTACCTCCACACACAGCCCCCTGCAGCTTGGTGTTGCAGCTGGTGGTGCGCCAGGAGCCATCCACATCCACATAGGTGCAGCCCCCAGGTTGCTCAGGCTCCCCGTAGTGCCAACTCACATAGCTCAGTGGCTCTTCTGTGACCCACGAGTAGCGCCGGGAACCCTGGACAGAGGGGTCAGTGGCATAGAAGGGGGACAGTGACAGGATGGTAAGCAAGAGGATTTTTGGAAGGGCAGGGGGCAAATTGGGGAGTGGGTGGACTAGGTCAGGGGGCGCACCTCCTCGCTGGCCAGCCCGATCCAGAGTGGTGTGTGCAGTCCGTGGGCAGCCTGTGTGAGGAAGGCCTGGGTGTAGGGGTCGGGCACGTGGGCTAGGCTGGTGTTACGGCTCTCGCACAGCAGGAGGGCATCGTGCCAGCGCAGCGGCTTCTGCAGCAGCCGGAAGGTGCCGTTGAGGTAGGAGAGTTCGGTGCCCGGGGCAGGGGGCGAGGCTGCTGGGGATGGGCTCAGGGAGGGGTCTACAGGGAAGGGGGCAGGGCTCAGGCCAGGCTCTGCTCTCCTCACCCTGTTCCCAGGCCTGAGGCAAGGATGCCAGAAATCAATTGGCAGAAACCAAGCCCAGGGCGACAGCGCGTAGCCCAGATGAAAGCCCCGTGAGAGTGGGCCACCTGTAGTACAACTAGCAGTGTGTCTGCTGATCGGCGGCTGGGGACAGCTGAAGCCTGGAGCTGCTCCAGTGCAACAACTCAGGGCAGAGGACACCCCGATGGACGCTAAGGTGCCCACATCAAACCTCAGGCTCCCACAGCAGGTGGCCAGCATAGCACAGACCTGAGTCCAGCTCTTCCAGCAGCTCGCTAGAATCCCAGTCTCCATCCTGCGGTCCCTCAGTGCTCACTGCCTTCCCTCCAATTGGTCCCCTGCCTTTCTGCCCATCTACTTTCCAGTAGACACTTCATTCTGGGGGTGACCCCTACACTCCTGAGTCTCAGTCCTTCTGATCCAGGGTTCACCTTTTGAAGCTCCCAGCTGACACGTACCAGTGCCCTTCTGACAAATGAAGCCGTGGGTCTCTTCTGTGCAGCTCCGGTCATCCCAGCGGCCAGTGAAGGGGGCTGAGGGGCTGTGCAGGACCACTGTACAACTGGTCTGTGGAGAAGCAGCTGCTCAGGGGGCCCTGCAGGACACTACTACCCACCACCACCACCTACCTCCCCACCCCTACCACGCTCCCCAACCACCCTCACCCCTACCCCGTGCCCCTGCTTCTCAGAGGCATGCAGAGGGTGGAAGGGACACCCAGGATGATGACCAGCAGGCTGGGGCAAAAGTGAGAAACGTAGGTAAAGGGCCCCTTACCGGCTTGTTGCCGCTGGGAGTTGGGCTGGGGCCAGAGGGCTCCCCAGGTGCCCAATTGGCAAAGAGCAAAGGTTCCTGCTCCACCCACTGGAAGTCCCTCTGGGAGGCATGAAGACCAATCCAAAGGTCAAAGGTCACATTGGGCAAGCTGGCTGTGATGAAGGCTATAGCCCCAAAGAGAGAGAGAGAGAGAGAGTCGTGAGGGACAGGGTGACCTCTGCTTGCTCTTCTCTAGCTGTTTCAGGCACTGCCGGTGGGTCGGGGGGAGTCCTGGCCCTCCCCAGGCAAGGTCCTACCTTGTTCTAAGGGGTTTGCAATGGTGACCAGCTGGGCCTCTTGCTGTTCACAGGAAAACTGAGCCTCTGACCACTTCACTCGGTCCTGGGGATCCTGGCCCTGGATTCGGAAGCACTGTGGAAGAAGTGGGGAGAAGCGTGACTTTCAGCTCCACTTCCCTGCCCCACAAACCCTGACAATCCCTGTGCACAGGCCCTAAGGACAAGCTGCAGGAACCAGACATCTGGGTCCTTGGGGAAGCCCAGGAGCCTCACGGCGCAGACTCATGTGCACTTGCCCACATTCTGGAGCTTTCTAAATGGGAGACTATCTGGGGCCACTGAAGCCTCTCCTACCTAAGACCACCAGGCCTGAGCCAAGCACCTAGCAGATAAAAACAAGGCGTGTCTGGCCTTCTGTTAAGCTCCTTCCTGAGTGCTGTCTGAAGTCAGCCAGGTCTTTCCTCAGCTTCCACTCTCATCTCTGTTGTTAGCTGTCTCTTGCTGTTGAAGGACATCAAGTGTACAGAACAGAGCCTCATCTTTTCAAGGCTGTGATGTTTTGGAAGCAGACTTCCAGCCATGCCTGTCCTCACAGACTGCTAGATGAGTGTGAACCACCAGGCCAAACTCCTGGGGCCATCCAGGGATACTCTGACATCCACTTCTTAAGAGTCTTTGTCACACAGCAGCTCTGGACTTTCTGTACTTTCATATTCTCTTCCCTCACCTTCAATACTTCCATGAGATTAAAGGAATCCTGTGCAGGAAAGTCTTTTAAGACTCTCAGAAAATGAAGTGTCCTGCTCAGAGGCAGTGTTGATGGAAAAGAAAGAGTATTAAGTAAGTTCTGGGGTTGTAAAGGTTATGAGAGAGATCAGATTCCAGCTCTGACTTCACCTTCTGGACCTCAGTTTTCTCTTCTGTAAAATGGTCACAAAATCCTGCTCTTTAGGGTAATTTTAAAGATGAGTGTGCACATAGAGTAGACACTTAAAAAGTGAGAGAGCCGGCGGCCTAGTGGCAAGAAGCTGCACTGCAATCCCAGAGGCGCACGGTTCAAATCCACCAGATGCTCTACTGAAGGAGGGGAAATCTCCTGTACCAGTCAGATCCGATTTGACAGTACACACACAAAAAATAATAATAAAATTTAAAAAAAAAAGTGAGAGAGCCAACCCGCTCTAGAACACAGCTTTGCTGAGGTAGAAGTAGTTGTGGGTTGAGAATGGTAAACCCAGAAATAAATGCAAGAGGTTTTGAAGCTCGTCATGAAGTTCATGCATTTGATCTCACAGTAGTTCAGAGCTGCCCTAAGGCACCATTTAAATACCTAGCAGCATAATCATGTAATTAAGAGCGGCAAGATCACACCAGCACCAGCAAGAAGTCACAGAAGTCCAGCCACCACACCATGTGCAGGTGTGGTATCAGGTGGTAGATCAGGCATAAGGGGTCCTGCCCTCTAGGAGTTTAAAGATGGTGGGGGAGGCAAACCCATAAATGTTTTATTGTTGTTAGCTGCCATTCAGTCTCCCCCAGTTCATGACCACTCAATCCACAAAAGAACGGAATGCTGCTGGTCCTGAGCCAGCCCCATGATCAGCTATGGCTCAGCTTATTACAATCTATGGGTGTTCACCAGGCCTTTCTTCCTAGTCCACCTCAGCCTGAAGCTTGTTCCTCATCCTAGGAGCAACCAGCTTCCACAACAGATGGCTGCACATGAGATGCAGTGACCTGGATTCAAGGCCCGGCCTCTGCACAGATGATGAGAATTCTACCAGTGAACTGCCAACCTCCATCCAAATGCTACAGGGATGCAAAGGAGGGCTGAGAACTAATTAAGCAAAGTGTCTAAGGTCAGTTAGTGAAGGGACAAATAGCCTTGAATAACTTCAATATCAGTGTAGTTTAACTAGTCAAGAATGTCTGCCTTGGGGAGCTCTGGTGGCCTAGTGGCAAGGAGCTGCAACTACAATCCCAGAGGCGCATGGTTCGAATCCACCAGATGCTCTGCCGGGGAAGGAGGGACAATCTCCTCCTGTACCAGTCAGATCTGATTTGGCGGTACATGCACACAAAAATAATAAACTTTTTTTTAAAAAAAAGAATGTCTGCCTTTCCATTGTGCTCTTCCAAGAACTCTCTCACTGGTCAGCTTGACAACACCAACCAAAAAAGAGAAGATAGGAGTCTGGGGGAGGGTGACAGGCAGTAAGTTTCCTTGTTGTTGTGGATCCTTGTTGTGAAGCCCCTCCTTCTCCAGCAGAACATCTGATGGATTTGAACTGCATGTCTTTAGGATTGCAGCACAGCTTCTTGCCACTAGGCCACAAGAGCTCACTGCCTTTTTTATTAGCAGCCAAGTGCTTTAACCATTACATTACCAGGGATCCTTACATTTGGGATAAAAACCACTTGCTGTCGAGTTGGAATTGACCCATAGCAGGCTTCCGAGACTGTAAACCACACAGGAAGAGCCTGCTCATCTTCCTCCTGCAGAGCCACTGGTAGATTTGAACCACCAGAAAAGCATCACCTTTCGGTTAGCAGCACAACCACCAGAACTCCCTACAACAGCGATAAATAGCCTTTACAAGTCTCTGCAAAGAGGCTATGACTGAACTTAATGGTAATGCTGCAGCATAGACATGAGGACCTGGCGCGAGGACCCTTGCCCTCCTGGAGCAAGCTCTGTATGAGCCACAGCTATCAGATGCTGTCAAGTTGACGTGGCTCCTAACAGCCTCACGTGACACCGGAGAACTGCTCCGTAGGATCTTCTAGGCTGTAGTCTTTTTTTATTAGGTATGAAGAAAGGATAAAGCCCTGATGCACATCTTTCTTTTTTTGAGGGGTGGGGGATTTCACATTTGCTGATTTTTATTCATAATCTGTTTTTCCATACAATTTACATCCTCATCCCCATCCCCATCCTGATTATATAGATGCTAGTGGCAGAAAGGCCTGGAATAAATACATCCAGGGGAGAGGATAGGAGGCAAAGCTGTGAAGCTACATGCACGCTAAGAGGAAGAGGAGAGTGTCTTGGGCATAAACTCATGGTAATTAGACGGTTTCAGCTAAAGTTTGTTCAGTCATCCTTGTCTTTTGCTCCATGTTTCAGGATGCGTGTGAAACCTGTGTAACTGAAGTGTATTTGAAATTCCCCTTTTCATTGATCGGAGCTTCCTCTCTGTAAAGTGGCCCCCCCCGGGTGGTCAGCAACTCTCCCAGGTAGTCTTCCTGAATGGTGCCTGCTGCTTCTTCATCAAAGCAGGCAAATGAATTTCTGATGACATCCTCTGGATCTGTCCCACTGAGCTTCTCCCCAAACATCGGGAGGAACATCTGTCAGGTCCTTCCCTAGAGAGGCCACGAGGCTGCAGCTGTGGTAGTGGTGGCACTTCCACCTCTGAGGCAGGCGGGAAGGCAGAGGGGTGCTGCCGGCACGTGCGCTTGGGTGGTGCGGAGCCAGGGGCACACAAGGGCACAGGGTGCAGGACACGAAGGCATGGACGTGGGCTAGCTGCGCGCTCCCCCCTACCCTCCCACCCCCGTCTCCGTACACGACCCTCGCCCCACACCCCTCCCGCACCCCCCGCCCCCAGTGCCTGTGCCCCTATCCTTGTCCACTGCACACCTTTCTTGATTTTAAACCATGCAGTGCAAATCATCATTCAAGAAACTGGACCCTATGAAAAAAAGATGGCATCAGGATAGAAGGTAAACTCATCGACAACCTGTACTATGCAGATGACACAACCTTGCTTGCTCAAGGTGAGGACCTGAAACACTTATCGAGGAAGATCAAAGTCCTTCCATATGGATTACAGCCTTCAATATAGATTACATCTCAACATCAAAAAGGCAGAATTTTCACCACTGGACCGATAGATGGAGAAAGATTGAAATTGTCAACTATTTCATCTTGGATCCATCAACAACACCGCTGGCACCAGCACTCAAGAAATCCAGCCACATATTGCACTGGGAAAGTGCTGTCAGGGACCTCTCCAGAGTACTGAGAAGCGATGAGGAGAGTTTGAAAACTAAGGTGTGCATGATTCAGACCACATCTTTTCAACCACTTGCTATGCATCTGAGAGTCAAAATGAAACATGGATGACAGAAGAATGGATGCCTTTGGGTTGTGGTGTTGGAGAATAGTAGTGAACATCCTGTGGTCTGTCAAAAGAACTAAGAGATGTGTCTTGGAGAGGGTGCATGCAGAGTGCTCCTCAGAGGCCCGTGACGCTTTATCTCACATTTGGACTATTTCTTGGAAATAGTCACGCTGGGAAAGGTAGAAGGTCAATGAAAGAGAGGAAGACCCTGAGCCAAATGGATTGACACAGTTACTGTAGCAATGAACTCAAGGACCTCAGAGATGATGAGGATGGTGCAGGATAAGACAGGGTCCTGATGTGTTGTTCACATGGGCATTATGAGTTGTACTCGACTCAACATGTAACAACAAGAAGTCTTTACAGACGCACATTCTCGGGCCAGAACCAGTGGATGGAGTCCATACACCAACCTTTCCGTGAGTCACTCACTGGATTCACAGCTAACCATCCATTGGATTTCCGAGGCTGTAAACTGCACAGGAAGAGGTTGCCCATCCTCCTCCCTCGGAGCCATGGGGGAGCTGAACCGCCAGAGGCAATGTCTTTGGGTCAGCAGCACAACTCCCTACAGACTATGAAACCAAAGCGTCCTTGCTAAGAAAAAAACCAAAACCAAACCAAACCCTGTTTAACTTAATACTATTCCCTTCCCCACTTCCCCCACCGCTGTTGACCTGAAGTAACTCTCCACCAGGTTTCCCAGCCCGTAATCTATAAAGCAGGAGACTGTCAAGGAGACTTTCTCTCAAGGAGCAGCTGTTAGATTCGAACACCTGCCCTTTTGCTTAGCAGTGCAACACAATGCACTCTGCCACCAGAGTCCTTAACTAGTCCTTAGCACAGCCTTTCATTCTGCTCATGTGTGTCTATTTACCTGCACAGGAACACCTCAGAGCTATCATGGGCTTGGTTCCAGGCTACTGCAATAAAGAGACTATCACAACAAAGTGAATGATAGGAAGTTTTGGGTTCCTCGTATATATTCCAACTGCTCTGTTGTCTATTAAGTATACAGCAACATCATTCAAAAATTGTAAATACTGTGAGAACCACCAAAATGTGACAGAGACAAGAAGTGAGCACGGGCTGTTAGGAAAATGACGCTGCCAGACTCACACAAGTTAAGGTTGCCCAAATCAGCAATTTGTTAAAAACACACTATCTGCACTAGGTAATACAATAAAGCATAATAAAATTAAATATGCCTGTAAATCAACTCATTACTGCAAGTCAGAACTGACTCAGCTGATCCTTCAGTGGGTTTTCTGAGGCAGTAAACTGCACGGGAAGATACTGCTCCTCTTTCTCCCTCAGATTTGAACTGACTGCCTTTGGGGTTGGCAGTATAGCTCCTTATCTCCTACATCACCAGAACTTCCTAGTACTTACAGTACAGAATACACAAAAATGTGTTGTGTACCGTCAAGTCGGAACCAACCCACAGCTGACCCTCCAGCAGTTTTTCAGAGGCACGGAAAGAGATTGCCCATCCTTCTCCTGTGGAGCAGCTGGTGGCCTTGAACTGCATGCCTTCAGGATTGTGGCACCGCTTTTTGTCACAATTACATATATTGAGTCTCCGTGTTCAACTATTTTTAAAAAAACTAACTAATTCGTCAACTGTTTGCCCTAGATCTAGATCTGATGTAGAAAATAGCACCTATCTGGAAGACTTCACTTAAGATACTTCACTGAGTTATTTCAAGGAAGGCTCACCTTGGCATCATGGCCAAGTGAGAGGTTAGGACAGGAGAAAGGCCATAACCTGGATGTTGCCAAGTGACCAGAACCCTAAGACTCAGCCTTCTCATACTCCTATCTTCTCCCCTGAGTGCTCCTTTCCCCTCTTACCTTGTTGAGGAACTGGTTCCAGCCAGAGGGGCAGCCCCCCAGGGCTGTGGGTGGTGATTCTGGGGGTTGTGTCTCTCTGGTGCTGTTGCTGCGCTTGCAGATGTAAGGCAAGGCTGTCTGGCACCTCTGGTCTCCCCAGTCTTCTGTAGAGATGGGAGGGAGAGACAGTCACCCAGGGCAGGGCAGGCAGCCCTCTGGCCCCATGTCCTGAGAAGAAGCTGGGCTGAACTCCAGCCCCCTATCTCCAGTATCTCCAGCTCTGAATGTAAGTCCCCTGTGGCTGTGGAGTCATGAAGACAAGCCCCCTTCCCTACAGGCCCAGATAAGATCCCTCAGATTGAAAGAACAAAGAGAATGAAAAGACGCTGACAGTCCCTGCCAGGCATCCTGCTTGCATCATGGACCCTCTCTCAGAGGTCTGCCCCTCTACCTTGCCCTCACCTCGGTTGGCCGTCATATACACACACTTCTTGTCTTTGCCAATTGGCCGTGGTTTGCCAGGTGCCCAGGAGATGAAGTTGATAATGGAACCATCTGTCCACCTGCAATGGCATTGAGCAAGGATGGCACAAGCACTGGTAAAGGGCTCAGTCTCCCCGTTTGCAGTACTGAAGGCCGAGGAAAAAGGAGTCAAGGGGGAGACCAGGTCTAAGGCTCAGTGGCTGCAGGCTCAGGATGGCAATTACTGAGCTCAGAGAGCCAGGCACCTCCCAGAAAGACACCAGCCTTCCCAATGTACTCGTTTATCCAACTGTAAAAGATGGAGACTCTCAGAACAGGGGTCCAGGACTAAGATGTACTGGGGGCTCACACGTGCTCCTCCTGTGTCCAGGACACTCTGAGGACAGGCCTCTCTGGGCCATTGGATGTCTGAGCAGGACTGATATGTCAAGAGTGATCCCTGGACATGGTAAGGTCAGTTATTATTTAGTGTCCAGTATGTGCCAGATGCCTTGCTAAGGACATCACATACTCTTTTCATCCTCACTACTCACTACTCAGCAAGCAGTATGATTCCCATTTTCAGAGAAGAAAAATGAGGTCTAGAAATGTTAAGTCATTTGCTCAAGGTGATACACTTGAGTAAGAAACAGAGTTAGATTTAAACCCAGGTCTATTGTCTCTCTGTGCTGGGCTGCCTCATCAGCCTGGCCTTTGGTGGGAGCAGCTAGTGGCCCACAAATGTACTTCTTCACACCCCCTGCAGGACCCTTGGGCCCCTACCTGAAGCGCCCACTGTTTTCCACGGTGTGCAGACCAATCCACCAGTGCTGCTCCTGGCCGCGGGAGAACTGGGGGACAGCAGGGCAGGTGAGGGTTGGCAAGGCCTCACAGGCCTCCTTTCCGCCCATGCTGCCCCTGCCCACAACCTCTGCCCTGTGGCACACCCACCTTCTGTAGGTTGTGCCCTAAGAAGTCGAGCTCCGCCTGGCTGTGCACGGAGGTCAGCTCGGCCTGGAACCATGTGCAGATGCGCTGTGCCTGCGTCCACGTGGAGTGGTGCTCAAAGAACTTGTACTCGGCCTCCTGGAAATGCAGCCATTCCCGCCGGCCTGGAGTAGAGGGAGGCACAAAATGGGCAGTCAGTTGGGTGCCAGGACAGGCAGGAGCCTGTGAACCCACTAGACGAGGGCAGCATCCATGCCAGGCTCTGGGCCCTGGGCCTGCCCCTCAGAGGCAGAGGTAGACAGGGCTCACGGGCCCCTGTTTTATGCAATCAGTCCTCTTCCCCAGATCTAGCCCTCTTGGCCTCAGAAGGTAACACCCCTTCCCGCTCTGGGCAGTGGGGGTGGGAGATAGGGATGTAGGGGAGACAGGGGACCTTACCTTGAGGACCCACATCTGGCTCCTGCACATCAGTGCCTGCAGGTAAAACGTGAGCAGAGCTGCTGCTGGGGAAAGGGACCCTCCCCTGGATACCAGCCCCTGCTGCCCCACCACGGCCACCTCCCCACCTCTGGGGATCTTGCAGATCCAGTCTAGCTGCGTGTCGCACTGCATGGCCACCCACTGCAGGGAGGCCAGGTCAAGCACCGCACAGCTACGGATGTCATCATCGTCATGTCGACTCCGGTCGAAATTGTGGTAAGAGAACTGGAACAAGTGCAAGGGGAACAGAGGGGTGTTTGAGGTACATCCAGTCCCCAGAACAGGCTTATCCCCTCCCAATTCCGACTCATAAATTCTCCCTCCATTCAATTTCTGAGGCTTGATGTAGTAAGAAGCTGCACTGCAATCCTGAAGACATGCAATTTGAATCTACCAGCTGCTTCATGGGAGAAAGATGGGCAGTCTCCTCTAGTGTGATTTACTGCCTATGAAAATCCACTATGTCAGCTATGAGTCGGTTTGATTACATGGCACACAACAAATCTTAATGAGAAGAAACCACCTATCTCTCTCCCATGGATTGGCTGGTGGATCTGAACTACCAGACATGCAACTTCTGGATTAGCATCAACTGGGAAGCCACACACCGGCCTGGGCATCCCCCCACATTCCCTTAACACACTGGGACTTCCTTTGACCTGCTAGCTGATGTGAGAGGCTCACCCCTGAGTAACCCCGCCCCCCAGGCCCGCTTACTCCCAGCCCATCGCTCCAGCGCCAGCTCTCTCTGCTTCCCGGGTTTCGTCGGTTCAACCCCATCCAGAACCAGTGCTGCTCATGGATTTCAGGCTCTGATTCACTTTGGTACAGGGGGAGGGCAGAGGGGTGGAAAAGGGGAGAGAATGAGCACTGCCAGCCGGGTTCCAGGCTCCCCTAGACCTCTCATCAAGCAGCAGCACACTGTTGGGCCCACTTGAAAAGTGAACCACTCACAGGCAAATGGGAGTACAGGGCGGGGCACCTGGCTGGTGGCCTCGGGTTCGCTCCTGGCCTGTGGTTCCCCTGTGGGTGAACAGAGCCCTGCCCAGCAAGACCCTGCAGGCTGTTACTGTGGGAGTTTAGGGAGCTGCTGGGGATGCAGCAGAGACCTGGGTCCCTGTGCTTGGATCAACTTCAGATCCTGGTTCACCCACCCTAGTTCTAGGTCAGTTCCAAGCTTAAGCTCATCGCCACTGTGGTTTTCCAGGCTGTAAACTGTAAAGGGTGGAGACTATCCACCTTCCTCCCAAGGAGTCACTTGCTGGTGGATTCAAACCCCCTGAAAGGCAACACCCTAAACGCTTCACCACCACAGTTTCTTAGCTACACCAAGGACGGTCCCTAACGAACAAGTCTGTCTTGGAGATACTACCAGGGTGCTTCTGTGAGAGGAGAATGGTGAAGCTTCACCTCACATGTTTTGAGTATGTTTTCAGGAGGTTCCAGTCCTTGGGAAAAGACATCGTGCTGGGAAAGGTGGAGAGTCAGAGAAAGAGGAAGACCCTTAATAAGATGGACAGACACAGTGACTATGACAGTGGGCTCAGGCACATCAGAGGTTCGAGGATGACACAGAACACGGCAAGGTTCAGATGTGTTGTTCATAGGGTCATTATGAGCCACCGTCAACTTGATGGCAACAGCAGCAGTCCCTAATGGGTTCCAGTGGCACTGATCATTCAACCCACGGCCACATCAGGCTCCTCTGTCACGAGGAGGCAGTCCTTGCCACAATCTCAGGAAGTCTGGGGCTCCTGGGGTGTCCACAGGGCTGAGGTCAGGGGCTGCTGTGTGTCATCTGATTCTCTGACCCCACAGAACAGACGTGGAGTCCCGGAAATAACCCCACTAGCAAACCTCCTGTCCCTAGGGAAAAGCTGTTTACTGGGTGTGGGTTATTATGGGACAGCACAGTCTGGGAGGGGAAACACTCACCTCGTACCAGAATGAGGAGGAGTTGGGAGTGAGGAAGGAGAGCCAAGAAGGGGTTGTTGTTGTTTAATGCCGACGAGTCATAGACGACTCATAGCGACCCTATGAACGAACAGCCTGAGCACTGTTCGTACATAGAGTTTCCAGAGGCAAGCCATTTTGGAAATGGATGCCGCTCCTGCTTCCAGGCTTGATTTAGTCGGGAAGCTCCAGCCAACACTGTCCACCATGGGTGCCCATTACCACGACTGGCACATCACTGTCACAGGCTTCAGCATCACAGCAACCACGAGTGACCTCTGTACAGCAACGCACAGACCAGTGCTATAGAAGGGGTTACTTATGGAAAAGCTTGGGAGTCTGCAAAGAGGGTACAGCTCATGAGGACTGGAAGGTCTCCCAAGACCAATGTTTCCTCCAAGAATCCAGGGAAATGATGGCTATGGAATGAAGGGTGGGATGGGCCTGGCCATAGGCAAGCCTCACGGGGTTCACCTTCATTCTGTCCCCAGCCAATTAACAGTCTGCGGGCTAGGCCTGCTTTCCCTTGGATATGCACACCCACTGTTGACTAACACACACACAGAGGAGAGAGAGACAGACAGACAGACAGACACATATGCAGACACCCATGCTCCACCCCACATTGCTCCAGGCTCAGTACCCAAAGATTTTGTTGAGCATGTTGGCCACAAAGTGCTCCTCCTCATAGCTGGCCAGGCTGAGCAGCTGGGCCCCCAGTTCCTGGCAGGCACCCTGGGCCTGGACCCAAGTCCTCTTGTCCTGCAGCCGGTCTGAGCTGAACACCTGCAGGGGCAGAGTGCAGTGATCGCAGTCACCCCCACTGGCCCAGCTCCCAGGGGGTACGTCTGCCCTTCCCATGACAGTCGGGGGCGGCTGGGCTTCACTGGACAAAGGTTTCCGGTTAGCTAAGGACAGTGGTGCTCATCAGAGAGTGAGCCCCAAGGGAAGGGCACTGGCTCCTAAAGAAATGCCCTCTGCCTTGTGTCCTAAACAAGAGGCCACGTGGATTCTGATCCCAGCACAGCCACACCTACAGGTGACAAGTCCCTTCCCCTCCTTGGAGTCAAGTCTCAATGTTATTGAAGAATCCTGCAATACAGCCATGGCTCCCCAACCTGGCTAATCAGATAAAACTCAGATTCCCCGTCCCCAACCGCCCTCTGGAATCCAAATCTCCATGGAACCTAGATTGTACTGTATCAGACTCCCCCAGGGGGTTCCGAAGAATAGCCATCTGGCCGCATCATCTGAAAAGCTTGGAAACAGAAAGCTCTCAGGTTCTTTCAAGTCCTCAAATGTTCACTGAGCTGTCTTGTCTGGCTCACTCCACACTGGCAAGAAGTTCACCACAAACTCACTCAGCAGTGTCAAGTGGGAAAGGTAGCCCCAGGGCCCACCTGTCTGGATTGTGGCTGGTCCCACAGGGACCACCCTCCATGTGGGCAGCCGCCCCTTCCCCCCCGCATACCAACAAGCTACCTTACCTTATAACAGTGCCGGAGTTTGGGATCAGAGGCCCAGCCCTGGGGACACAAACCGGTAAGGCTGGGCGTGGGGTCTGGCCCCGGCAGCTCTGGCGTCACAGGCGTGCCCAGGCTCTGCCGGCAGATGTAGCGAGCCCAAAACATTGTGCAGTTCTTCACCTCCCACAGCCCCATGGCGCTGCCTGTGGCCAAGGCCACGCAGCCCCCACGGTTGTACCCTGAAAGAGGGAGAAAAGGGATCCACACACTGGAGGTTATCTCATTGTCTGGTCCCCCTCATCCCCTCTTGGGTACCCCCAAGAGCCTGACACTACTGGGAACCAGCGTGACCATCTCTGCAGTGACACACCTGGTGTCCAGGCAGAATGAGAACAGGAAACAAAGGAACAACTTCCCAGGCCTACCTCTGTGTACTCACTGAGAGATATCAGGGAATTTGCATAGCCTCTCTGCCTCACAGAGTTATTGAAGGGGTAGAGATAATGGATATGACATAATAACAATAGCAAGCACTTGTATTCGTGTTAGGTGTCTTTTAGTGGATTTTCAATTCATAGTGGCACTAGGTGACAAAGCTGAATGGCCCTGTGAGACTGTAATCTACTGAAGAACACTGCCATGTGTTTCTCCCATGGAGCTGACAGGTGGGATTAAACCACCAAGCTTTCAGTTGGCAGCCGAGCACTTCCACACCCAGGCTCCCAGCGCTGTACGGTGCTCACTATTCTAAGTGCTTGAGCTATTTGAGCCTCAAATAACTCTTTGGAGGAAGGCACCCATCACCCCAGTTCACAGATGAGGAGAGTGAGGCTCAAAAAAATGCACAGCTAGTAACCCGCAGAGTTAAGGCTGGGCAGTTTAGCTCCAGAGCCACGATCCCACAGAAATGCTCAATTGTTGGTAAAGCCTCTGGTCCCCGTTCTGCCATGGCAGGCCCACCCCCGCCTCCCAGCACCGCCAGTGACTGAGCACCGGAGGCTCACCAGGCTGGTCCCGGTTCCAGTGGGTGTACATGACCTCATCCCCACTGAGCCAGCGGAAGGCGCCGGTGCTGTTGAGGTCCTGCAGGGCTGTCCAGAAGTACTCGCCCTCCCAGTTGTAGATGAGGCTGCTGATGAAGGCCTGCTCAAACCTGCCAGGGGGAGACTGGTCAAGGCAGGCCTTGGGGTTACCAGATGCCCTGCCCCAGGAGGCTCAGTGTTATGCCTGCCTCCTACCTTGTTCAGGGAAATGGGGGTCCTTGGGGTCCTGCAGCTAATTAATGGAGTAACTGAGCACCCCTGTATATCATCCACTCCACCTTGTTGTTAACAAAAGCAGACCCAGCCAAGGTATCCATCCCATCTATGCCCCTGCCCAGACTCTGTTCCACAGTGGAGTTACTTAATTAATGAGTCATCCTTGGCATAGTATTAGAAAGAGGTTCTGGGCTCTGCTGGGACTAAAAGGACTCCAGATGTGAACATGATGGCAGGACATGTCTTCTGGTGGAGGGCCACATTTGGCAGGCCTCCAGGCCCTACTTGTACCTGTTGGTGATGGTGACCAGCTGGGATTCATGGTCAGTGCACAGACGCCGGGCCTCACTGTAGGTCACTTGGTCCTCTCCCAGCCAATAGCAGGATGGGCTATGCCATGTCCAACCCTGGCTCGAGGGAAGAAGAGGGGTAACTAAGAGAAGGCCTTCATCCCTTGCCTATTAAGCTTGGCTGGGATGCAATTCATGACATCAATGAATGTACCACAGGCTTGGAAAAAGGAGAAAGGAAAGACTTGCTTGGCCCCAAAAGCAGCAGTCCCTGTGGCTCTACCACATCTGCCCCCCGCCCCGACTGCCCAAACTCATAAGGCCATGGAAGGAGACATGGCGCAAGGTGGTGACCAGGAGGCAGCTGGTAACTGGGGCTGGTGACCAAGCTTAGAAAGATGACACTGGATCCTTCCTTCTCTTGAGCATTTATGCCAGGAGATACAGTGGAAATGCCAGCTGGCCAGGGAACCAGAACGAGAAAGCTGGGGTGAGCTATCAGGGTGGGAGCCTTTGTCACTCTCAAGAACCCAGGAAAGTGAAGCTAAGTGGGAAAGGTGCTCAGAGGGGGTGCTCAGAGAGAAGAACAGCGACCACCTCAGCACAGAGTGGGCACAATGGGCTTCTGCCTAGAGAGCCCTCTTCCCCTGAACCACTTCTAACCAGTTCTCTCTTCCCTGATACCCAAAGCCCTTTGCCTTCTAGATGAGGAACTTGGGATCAGAGAAGTCAAGTGACTTGTCCACAGTCACACAGGCTATGCAGGTAGAGTCTGAACTTGACTCTCCTAAGGAGAGCCAGCTGCTTCATCACAGGTCCTGGGAGTGGGCCTGGCAGCCTGGGAGGAGGCTGGGGGTGGGGATGGGATAGAAGGCAGCACCTCCACCCCAGGTAGAAGCTGGGGCACAAGAGAAGGCTGATGTGCGCTGACAGGGGGTTCTGATACTCACTAATGGCTATGCTCCTGACTCTCACATGAAGCAGGCAGTAAAGCCCACTGCACCCCATTCCAGGACACAGCCCCAGACCACCTGCAACCCCATAATCACGCTGCCTCCAGGCTGCTCCTTGGGGCTTCTCTGTGCTCTCTCCTTCTTTCCCATAGAGGTCACCTCTATTGGCATTTCCTGTTCTGTTTGGGGTCTAGGTAGAGTAGGATGGCATGAGCGAAGGGGGCTTAATCCAAAGGAAACCAGGTTGGCAAGGGGCTGCAGAGGAGTGTGGCGGCCAGCCCGGCAGATGGAGCCAGCAGGCCAACAATCACAGAGTGGCCTTTATGTGTCACTCCCCCACAGATGTCTACAGATCCCTGCTCCACCAGGCAGGGAGCGGGCTGTGGAAGAAGAGCCAACCTCGGCCTCCCTCAGGGCCGCAGTGTACACTCTGTGCCCGGCCCTCTACCCTCACCTTCATTCCTGAGGGCCCTCCTTTACTCCCCTGGACATCTTTTGGAAACAATTCGGGCCCCAGGAACGCAACAAGAAGACTGGTCCCCTTCAGAACAGCTCCTCTTTCTCCCAGAGGAGACAGGCAAGCATACGCTCCATCAGGCGGCTCAGTGTGTGCAGCAGAGCGAGGGATGGAGTGCAGGGGGACACACAGAGGACATGACTGGCTCTTGGTGACTGTCCCCACCCCAGCTCCCTGCTGCCTCTGAGACCTGGCTTCCCTGGGGATGGGGGCTCAGCTTCCGCCCAACGGCCCCCTCCCCTTCTATTCCACAGCTCTTTGCTTCAGAGCTTGAGGGAGAGAGAACATGGCACAGACACCCCCTGGCCCCCACCTTCCGGCAGCCGTGGTCCTCCTCAGCAGTGCCCTGGCTCAGCTGGCCCGCCTTCTTGCAGATGGACGGCAAGGACTGGTTGCAGGGACTGTCATTCCAGCGACCCTCCTGTGGACACAGCAAGGACAGAGTCTCATGCCTCCACTCCAAAGCCCTCTGTGCACCTGGTCTCTCAGCCTGCCCCTGCCTGGTGAGCTGTGTGAAACTGAGTCTGTGCCCCGTACAGTAAAATGGTCGGGTTAGTCAGGAAGCCCCACAGGATTATAACCAAGAGAACAAATAAACCAGGAATGTGCAAACGTCCTGAAACTTTGGCTGAAGTGGGTGGGCGGAATTCCTTTCAGACTATGTATACCTCATGTTATGAACATCAAAAACAAACTGGCTTGCTAAGAGTGTGAGAGTGACCCACAGCAAGACAGATGCCCACTCTGGAAGACAGAGTCCTCTGGACCCAGAGGCGAGTCTCCGCTAACGAAGCTGAAGCGTTATTCACCTGTCCCTCCTCTTCTTGGCTCTCCTCAGCATCCACAGCCTCCCAGCCAAGCTGTATTCTCGCCTTCAAGTTCCACCCTGAGGCGTTCCCCAGCACCTCGGGAGAATGTCTGGCACAGAGTCAAACTCAACAACTCACTGCTGTGAAGTCAGAACCGACTCACTCCTGACCTTCCAGTGGGTTTTGGTGGATTTGAACAGCCTGCCTTTGAGTGGGCAGGGCAACTCAACCCTCTCCACTAAGCCGCCAGAGCTCCCTTGGCACATAGTAGGGGCTCAGTACATGGTTTTAAAATGTTCAATAGCATCCCAGTTAGGGATTGAATTTGTGTCCCTAAATTAAGTGCTGTAAATCCTAAACCACATGACCAGGCTCCCATCTGGGAATAGGGTTTTCTTTGTTATGTTAATGTGGTGAGCTCAGTATGGGCTTTTGAGCCAGCTACTTTGGAGATAGGGCAGAGCAGATCAGGAGCAGAGTAAAGCAGGAGTGGGGGACTGGGAGATGCCATGTGGAGATTGCCAAACTGCGCCAAGAAGAAAAGATTCTCGCCCAGAGAGAGCCTTCCCCCAGAGCAGGCGCCCCAAACTTGGACTTCTAACCTCCTCAACAGTGAAAAAACAAATTAGTGTTAATTATAAAGCCACGCATTTGTGGTATTTGTGTCATAGCAACACTGAGAAAGTAAGACCATCCCCAAACCAGATGGCCCAGCTGCTCTGACTGCAGAGTCTGTGAGTGTCTTACTGCCTTGGATGCAGAGCTGTCCCTATGGTTGGGTCCCCATTTTTAAAGTCCTGCAGGAATCGCACTGCCAACCCAAAGGCAGTGTCTCTGTGGTGTTTCAGATCCATCAAGGTCTCCTGGAGAGAAACAGGGGCCGTTTCCTCCCATGTGACTGACAGTCTCCAAAAACCTGCTGGAAGGTCAGTTATAAGTCGATTCTGAAACAGCAGTAAGTTTCTGAATTTGAAAGTGGTTTCTTATCTCTGTAGGAAGCCCTGCAACTACATCTATCTTCCTTCATCTACCCTTAGGGCACTCAAGCCTCAGCCTTGGCAGTCATGACCCTGGGACCCTGCGAGGGGTAGGGTCTGGGCACCAGCATGGCGATGCAGACCTGGCCTGTAGCTCGTCCACTGATAGTGTGTGTCCTGTTGCCATCTGCTGGCAGGAGGCGCAGCTGGCAGAAGACCAAGAACACGCCAGGCAGCACCCTCAGGCTTCCCTAAGCATTAACTCCTTTAATCCTCTCAATGACCCTGAAAGTCAGCACTATCAGCATTCCTTTGAGGCACAGAGATGTTAAGTAACTTGCAGGTGACCCAGCAAGTTGAGAGTGAAGGTGGGACTTAGCCCCAGGCAGTTTCTCCCTGTTGAAGGCAAGGGAGTGGGGGGGCTGCAAAGAACAAGGGGGGGCTAATTTAGATGCTCAGAAACTGGAGAGGGGTGAAGGGTTGCCCACAAAGACAGGTCAAAGAGCCAGGGGAGCACCAAACGGGTGGAGGCAAGGGAGAGGGGAGTCTCACCGGCCCCCAGATGGTGACACAGTCCTCTAGGCTGTCCCGGAAGTTGTTGGGCTCAAAAGGGTGCCAGTGGGTGAAGCTCACCAGGCTCCCATCGGACCACTCGAAATTCATCTGCAGCTTCAAATCATTAAGGCCAATCCAGAGCTCCTCCACTTCTGGAGGGGTGGGGGGAGAAGGACAGCAGGGGCTGAGATGAGAGTCTGACAGCAGCAGGGGAGAGGAACAGCTCCTGGTCTCCAGCCCCCGCCAGGGTGCGTGCAATGGCTGCCCCTCACTCACCCTGTTTGATCTGCTGGGTGATGAACTCCAGCTCGGCCATGCTGTGGATGCTAAGCAGGTCCCCTCCGGCCCGCAGACATGCCTTCTTGGACTCCTGCCAGCTGCGCTTCTCCGCCTGCAGGCGGTAGCAGTGGCCCTGGAAGGCCTGCCAGCTTGGCTCGCACTCCACCTTCACGTTGGCCCACATGTCTGCAAAGACCAAAGGCGCCGCAGCTCAGAGACCCAGCTGTCCAACGCTGGCACCCACACACTGGACGCCCGTCTCCTCCAGAACCCATCCCAGCTCAGTGCACCCCCTAGGTGCACTGCACCTCGCAGACAGAAAAAAGATCAATCCCTCTGGACTTACTGGAAGGAATCTTGGTGATACAATGGTTAAATGCCAGGCTAATAACTAACAGGCTGTTGGTATGAACCCACCAAAAAGCTCCTCTGTGGGAGAAAGCCCTGGAAATCTGCTGCCTAGAGAAGACGCTGTGGGACAGTGCTGGACCATGGGATCACCTGCACTGAGTCCACCTGCTGGCACCCAAGAACAAGGGGGCTGCTGGGGCTCAGACTCTGAGAATGAGAAGAATCAGAAGCGACCACTGCTCTGAGCCTGACATCCTGTCTTCTCAGTCAAGGCTCAAATGAGGGCTTGTTTGCCTTGACAGCCCTGGAACTCCTTTACATAGAGCCTGGTGAGCTTCTCTTTCTTTGGCTCTTTACTGTCTAGCTCAGTACCAGGTATCTCCATCACTATTATCTTAAGGAACCTCTGTTAACTAGGGGCTGTGTGGCCTGCCAATCCTGGAAGAAAAGAAAGGGCAGCTGACCCTTGAGCCACTGACATGTAGGTCCAGCCTGAGAGAAGGGCAGGGCCGGGGGTAAGGAGTCACTGCAGCCAGGCCTGGGGAGATGCTATCTCTCTGTGTCCCCCAGTCTCAGTGGTCCCTTGCTCCCACTATACATCAGGGCCAAGAGAAACAAGCTTGCCCTGACCCTTCTTTGTCCCTATTGCCGCGCATTTTGTGTTCTATCTGTAGCCAGAACACTAGAAAAGGGGTCCAAGGGCAGCTGTGGCCGACAAGCCCTGACTTGGGCTTTGGCAAGAGAAAACAGACTTTTTTACTAAGCCACCCACAACGTCAGGCTCAGGCAAGCCTCTGCCAGCCAGGCAAGCGAGCATGTGCCCACTAGAAGCAGCACCCCAGATTAGGATTCTGCGACCACTCTGGGGAACATCCAGGCCATTTCCTGGAGGCCCCACAGAATGGGTGGGTTGAGAGCAGGCTCAGGGGCTGTCAGTCATCTCTAGTTAGCCAATGAGGGAGGACGAGGATATCAGCAGACAGAACCGAACCCAGGCCCACAGCCTTATGGACCCAGGAAGAAGACTCCCACAGGGGCTGCACTGGCAGGTCCAGAGGCCAAGGGTCTTGGGTCCCACCAGTGTTCTCCACATGGGCCCTTCTACTTTTGGAAAACAGCTTCTAGAAAAACTGGCCTTGGGGCTAGCTAGAGGGGGATGCTTAGGTTTTAAGGGTTTTGTCCTGACCCCCTAGGGGTTTAAGGAAGTCCAGAATCAACCTTTGACAAGGTTGTAGTGGTCACTTAAAAGAGTTTAATGGTCAAGATTTTAAATTTTGCTCTTTACTTTCCAAGTGTTTGTGAAGTTTTACTGTTTGTGCCCTTGTAAAAACCTCTCTCCACCATCCCCACAACCACTCAGAGGCAGGAGCCTTTAATTTACCCCAATTAACACTCCCACACGAGGGCCCTCTGGGCGAGGCCAAGTCTCCAGCATTACAGCCACCTGGGAGCTGCATGAGGCTGGGTTTGCTCTGGTTCTGCTCAGAGACTGAGCTGTGAGCCCAGGGGACACCTGAAGAAGGGCAGAGTAAGGGGTCTATTCCAAGTTTCTCTTGTTCCCAAAGCAGTGTCTTGCCCATGGCAGCACCCTCCTCTACAGGAGGCCTCCACAACAATCTGATCTCCATGAATCACTAATGTGAATGAGACACTCCCTGGCTTAGAAACCTGCAAAGCTCCCCAGAGGCTGCCCAGCACCACTCAAACCCTTCAAGGACTAACTAACAGCATGCTGCCTTCTACGGTCATCTCTACACCACTCTCTAAGCCAGTCCGTCTCAGACTACAGGTGTCCAGGCATCACCTGTGGGCCTGGCTCAGAGCAGGCTGAGTCAGACTAGGGTGGGTGGGAGGGCCAGGGAATCAGCACTGCTAACAAGCTCCCACTGGGACTTCGCTTTGAGTTATGTTTCGCTTAACATCACTGAAACAGGCTGTTAGATGATTTTGGCGTGCGAACATGCCTCAATCTCAAGCCGTGGAGTTCACTGACTTTCTACTTTTGTGTTGTTTAAGAATCTTTCCTTGCCCTGATCTCTTGCTGTATGCTGAGAGCTACGATGCCTTTCATGGTAGTATTTTCAAAAGAAAATAAAACAGAGCAAACAGAACAACTCAAGAGACAAATGATATCCAAGACTGACATTGCTGCCTACAAGGGGAAGCATCCACCGTTACACAGTAAGCTTTTTACTTCTAAGTAGGGAAGGTTCTCCTAAGCTGGTAACATAAACATTATGATGATGAAGACCCAGAGGCTTCAACACATTGCTGCTGTGAACGTTTGAGCCGACTCACAGCTGACCTTACAGCAGGTTTTCAGAGTCAGGGGGAGAGACTGCTCGTCTTTCTCAGAGCAGATGGCTGACTTGAAGCCTGTCCCTTTAGGTTGGCAGTGCAACTACTGACCACTAAGCCACCAGATTGGTAATGCACATCCTGTACTGTAAGCTCTTGGTGGCACAGTCTGTCTGTAGGGAGTTGTATTTCTAACCCAAAGGCCATTTCTCAGGTTTACCTAAGACTCTTAGGGAGAAGATGGGCAATCTCACCCTGGGTGATTCACAGCCTTGGGAAACCACTGGGGGATGAGCTATCAGTTCCTACTTGAGGGCAATGAGGTTGAGATCATAACCGTATGTGACCATGGATGTAGATGTGCTCAGACTTTGCCTGAATGGACCTTGTGTATTACATAGGTGTAATAAGAGGCAATAATCCAACCAAACAGAACTTTTCTGTTCATTATCTCCTGAAGTGGCTGTGTACTGATGCCCTGACATCTTTGGACACCAAGTTCCTTCCACATGGAATGTTTCTTCCCATATCTTTACTCTTTAAGCCTTTTGAACCTACAAAAAACTCAAACTCAATTGGCATTGAGTCAAGCTTGGCTCAGAGTAATTCTCCTTCCCTAACTCTTAACAGGAGGTGATGGCTCAGCTATCTCCCCAGGAGCCACAGGGGAGTTAGAACCACGGGAGACGCACACACATTCATTTAATTAGCAGCATAACAGCCCACAGGTTTTGTCACGAGAGCTCCTTACATTCAATGTGAAGTCTCCATTTCCATAAAATCCTCCTGAAATCTCTCAGAAGCTAATTTCTTCTCGGGGCCCTTCTATCACTTATTGTATATATTTCTACAATGGCACAAACTTCCGTGTGTTGAGATGTCTGTTCCTCCAGCTGACACACCTTCACAAAAGGCATGCCAAGTACTGTCAACACTTAATACAGCTCTCAGCCAATGTTCTTGGAATGAACAAATGACACATTCTAACTTGTTCAGACGTTACCTCAATAGTTAACTGAGAACAGAGGATCAGAGTCACACTGTGCTGGAAGGCAGTAAGGAAAAAGGCAAGGACAGTGGTAGCTTTGGCGCTGGTGAGTCCCACATCCACCTGGCTGCTCAGAGCCCTCCTTACCTGAAGAGGCTCACCGGGAGGGTGGGCTCACCTGGAGGGAGGGGCTCACCTGGAGGGGTGGGCTCACCTGGAGGGGAGGGCTCACCTGGAGGGAGGGGCTCACCTGGAGGGAGGGGCTCACCTGGATGGGTGGGCTCAGCAGTGGCGTTGGGCTTCTTCTTGCACACATACGGTAGTGCAATGCTGCAGTCACGGTTCTGCCAGCCACCTGAGGATTCAGTGCGGATCACCCCACAGTTCTCATCGCTCGGGTTATCTGGTTGATCTGTGGGGACAGGAGGACACTAATCCCCAGATAAGAGAAGCTCACCACTTGCCCCCCACCCCCAGCCTTTCCCAGAAGCCCCTGCCTGCCTCCCTTCCCTTTGACCAGAGACCAGCCCTCTCCTCTGGGCTCCCTCTCTCTCTATCTTGGACCCACACTCTCCTAAACCTTCCACTTAACACCTAGAGCAACACCAGCCGCACCTCGCCCAGCCACCAGGTACTGTGGCGCTCATTGCACAAGGGTGTCCACTTCAAGGGTGACTGGAGGCTGAAATCCAGCCCACTCACTAACCCTGTGCCTCAAGCAGTATTTGTGAGGACCCAGGGGGTAAAAGGCAAACTGACTGCTTGGGTCAGTATAGGAGGGGTTGGAAATCAGAGCCTCCCAACATGTAAACACCGCTATGTTCCCCACTGAGGTGTTTTCTGAGCCCCCCAGTGCCCTGTACCCCAATGCTGCTCCTCACCACTCTCCCAGTTGAGATACTTGAGGGGCGAGTTGTCCGACCACTGCCAGCCACCATTGGTGTCCAGGTCATTGAGACCAATCCAGAGTGTGGAGCTGTAGCCTGTGAGGAGACCTGAGGACAAGGAGCAGTGAGTGGGACAGCATCTTCTGCCACCCGCCCACCCACTCCAATCCCCCCACACTGGCAGGAAGAAATTGGGCCCTCCAAAGGTGGGGACAGAGACCTCCTATTCCCACTACCCTGCCCTGCCTCTGGGGGTGCGTCAGATTCCAGCCAACCAGCCCAGGGGCCTGGGGACCGCCTGCTCCTCACCGTTGATATAAGTCTGCTCGTGGATCTCCGTGATGCTTAGCAGGTCCGCACCCTGCTGCTCACAGCTGGCCCAGGCCTCCCTCCATGACAACGTGGACTGGAAGTTGAACTGGTAGCAGCTGTCGGTCAGCTGGTCCTTGTCCCAGAAGGTCTCACAGTCATTACCTGCCACCAAGACAGCCAAGCATGCGTTCCTCACCACCCCTCCCCATCACAGATCACATGAGGGTCCCTCAGGGACTGCAGAGACACCCCCACACTGGCTGCTCTATGGTTGGAGAAGGGCTGGCTCTCACCCTCGTCTGGAAAGTTCTGCTGCCCACAGACTCCCTCCTCAGTTCCTGACCCCTCTACTCTATCAGCTCAATTCCCTCCCAGAGCCCACTCCCCCCAACACTGCCCCCCCCCAACCCTGCACTCACTCTTGATGGGACAGAAGCCCCAGCGCTCCTCCTTGCCATAGTCCTGGGTGGTGGCACACCACAAGTGGCCGTCCTCGCGACCTGTACTGGTGCAGCTATGGAACCACTGGTTGTCGTACTTGAAGGGAATGGTACAGGGCTTCCCGTGGGAGTTCCCCTGGATGGTGTAGACCTCTGCAGCAGAGGGTGGGGTGGGGGGTGGGTGGAGGGGAAAGTCAAGTCCTTGGCACCTATATTCCAGAGACTGCCTAACCCCCGACCCTGAAGGGAAAAGCCTTACCACCCAGAGAGCAGCAGAGAATGGGGGCACACAGGACAACCCAGAAGCCAGGGAAGAGGTCCCAGCTCATCCCACTGGGTGGGAAAGAGGCTCCCCCAGTGCCTGATGACACCGTGTGTCTCAAGCCCAGCTGGGCAAGGTGGTCTTCAAATCACTCACAGGAGTGAATCCTTGCTCAGACCCCCAAGTCCAGCGGCTCAAATCCCTCATGCCTATGTTCCCCAACCCTATGCCCATGTACTCCTGGAACTCAGAGTGGCTTCCAGGTGGGAAACAAACCCAAGATGAGGGCTTGTCCCCCAGATAAGGCCTATCATGGGTGACTCTGGTCACCTGCAAAACAGGAAGGATACCTGGTTGCTACCTGATGGAATGGATTAAGAATGCCTCTTATTAAAATGAAGATGTGACTTACAAGGGTCAGGGGGAGGGCCCCATCTCCCCCCAGCCTGTCCTTCCGAGGCTCTAGTTCTCACTCCCCCTCTCCCGACGAGCCTCTCACCATAGTAGGGCCGGGCACACAGGTCCTCATCACTGCCATAGATGCGCCACTGGCCACCGCGGGTCTGGTCGCCACGCTCAGGGGTGCCAGCCTTGGTGACATTGCTAGCTCGGCCTCCCAGGAGCAGGGACAGCTGGTCACCCAGTGTGCGACAGTGCCAACGAAGGTTCAGTGCCTCCCGGTCACACTCATACATGCCCAGGGAGGCGGTGGTGTTGGTGCCTGGCCAGCCTGTGCCCAGGCACTGCATGGCACCCAGGTTGAAGAGGCGATTTCGGGAGACCCACTTCCAGCGCTGGGCAGGGAGACTGGCATTGCAGGAGACAGTGACTCTGACCTGTCCACCCTGGGCCTCCAGGCAGCCCTGCAGTCCATGGCTGAAGATGAGGAAGACGTTGGGTTCTGTAAGAGAAGGCAGGACATGAGGCCTTCCCAGACTCTCCTGACTGGTCTCTAACAGTGCTGCCCTCATGCCCAGTGCAGCACCATAAGCCCACACTCGGGTCACCTGGTTCTGTTCTCAACACTGGCCTTTGGAGTAGCAAGGGGATAGAGTCACTGCTATTTCCCTGGTTCTGTTCTCAACACTGGCCTTTGGAGTGGCGAGGGGATAGAGTCACTGCTATTTCCCTAAAGGTGAAGGCTGTGTGGCCGGCCTCTGTTCTAGGCCCCAGCCCACTTGGAAATGGAGCTGCCTCTCTGTCCCACCCCCAAAACCAACCCAAGTCCACCTGGCAAGCTGAATGCTGTATACTTTTCTGAAGATTTTATAGGGCAGTGGACGTGCTTGTATCGTACATAGCTCGACCTTACTCACAACCTCTTGGCTTTTCCACCCAAGTCCTTGGCCAGAGTTATTCCGTCTACTCTCACCCCTCGGCTCCCCAGGGTCCTTCTTTCCTCCCTCTAGGTTCTTTCTAAGCCCTTCAGCCCCCAGATCCAGTGGCTTCAGCCCCTCATAATCGTCTCACTCATTTCTGTCAGACAGAGCATTTTTGATCCTGGGCAGGCTGGGGTGGGGTGGCAGGAAAGGGTGTGACTGCTGAAGGTATGGGGTTACTTTTAGGGGTGATGAGAGGTTCTAAAATTAGATTGGCAAGATGGCTGTACTGTGTGAATATACTTCAAACCATGCAATTGTATACTTCTTATGGGTGAATTATGGTATGTGAATTATATCTTCAGTTGATAGTTAAAAAAGATACTGAGGCTTAGAAACATGGAGTAACCACACCCACTAACCAGACTCCTCCCAAAGTCTATGCCTTCAGGATCCCCTGCCACCGCCTCAGTTCACACCCACGGACAGCACATTCTAAAGCACTTCTGTATTCGTTAGCTGGTGCCTCCTCGGGAATATTTCCATGCCTTTAAAGTACAAATTAGACGGCTAGTATTTCAATCTCAGCTTTGTCACTTTAAAGTATGACAATTTGCTTTATCTCTGTATCCTCATCATTTTAAAAACAAAACACCACACACACACAAACCACTTCTGCTGCACTGCAATCTCAAAGGCTCTCGGTTCAAATCCACCAGAGGCTCTGCTGGAGAAAGAGGGGCAATCACTCCCTGTACCAGTCAGATCTGATTTGACGGTACACAAGAAAAAAAACAAACAAAAAGCAAAACAATAAAAAACACTTCGATTATGTAAAATAAGTGTTTAGAACAGAATCTGGCACATAAGAGCGGGACAAATGTTTCTTCTTCATATTTTATATGAACTGAAAAATTCAAATTTACTGCCAACAAGCTAATTACTGACATAGCTGTGCCTTCCAGCGAGTTTTCAGAGGCTGTAACCACAGGAAGAACTGTCCACCTTTCTCCTATGGGACCGTTGGTAAGTTGAAACTAACTGCCTTTGGGTTAGGACTACAACTTCCTGCCCCCTAGGTTACCAGAGCTCCCAACTATATTCACCATGTTGTTGTTTTGTTGTTATTGATTGTCGTCATGTCGAGAGCACGACTCATAGTGACTCTATGAAGAAAAGACCTGAAGCCATTCCAAAATTATCGTCGTTTCTCAAAGTTCAAAGAATTTCCAGAGGCAAGTTGTTTAGGAAGTAAATGCCACACAAAAAATTCTGACTCAGAGCAGTGAAGCGATTCGACCAGAGTCACAGACTGGTAAGGGGCAGAACTGAAATTTGGTCCCCAAACCCAAAGCTCTTTCTGTTCCACCATGTTGGCCTTCCCATCTTCTAGAAGCCATTCTCCATAGGTACTGATCTTTTAAAGCTATAAATCATTTCTAGAAAAAAGATTACTGGCAATTTTACTTTTTAATAATATAAAAGCACTGAAAGGACTATAAAGGAAGTGACTGATTTAATGATAGTTGCTATGGTGGTGGTGATGTGCTATCAAGTCGGAACTGACTCGGCTCACCCTCCTGCAGGTCTCCAGAGGCTGCATATTGCACAGGAGGAAACGGCTCGTCGTTCTGCTGTGGAGCAGATGGTGGATATGAATCACCTGCCTTTGGGTTGGCAGCACAACTCCTTACCCATTAGGCCACCAGAGCTCAATGACAGGAATTAAAAGGTTTTAAATGATGAAAAATGCCATAAAAACAAAATAAAAATTTGAATGACAAATATATGAAATTTATTAGAAACCGGTAACTCTATAAAAGCAAAGATAGCCAAAGCTCATCTTCCATACTTTGAGCATGTTGTCATAGAGTGCCAGTCCTTGGAGAAAACACATCACACTTGGAAAAGTAGAGGGTGAGCAAAAGAGAGGAAGATTTTCAATGAGATGAACTGATTGGCACAGCAGGTTTGAGCACAGCGGAGATCATGAAGAAGGCACAGGACAGGGCAG